TATTGTAATGCTAGCAGCTCTGCCTTCCCTCAGCCAGCCAGCCAGGTTTGCGTAAGGCAGCCCAGGAATCGCCCAGACTGGGCTACCCAGTCAGATGGGTGGGGTGAATAATAATAATAATCGCTCCTTCGCCTCACCCTTCCCTGCAGAGTTCCCTTCTCCAAGCACCTCCCATAAATGGTCTGAGGACTCAAAGAAGGAATTGTAGGTGGGACGCGGTTAGCGCTGTGGGTTAAACCACAGAGCCTAGGACTTGCCAATCAGAAGGTTGGCGGTTCGAATCCCCACGACGGGGTGAGCTCCCATTGCTTGGTCCCTGCTCCTGCCAACCTAGCAGTTCGAAAACACGTCAAAGTGCAAGTAGATAAATAGGTACCGCTCCGGCGGGAAGGTAAACGGCGTTTCCGTGCGCTGCTCTGGTTCGCCAGAAGAGGCTTAGTCATGATGGCCACATGGCCCGGAAGCTGTACGCCGGCTCCCTCGGCCAATAAAGCGAGATGAGCGCCGCAACCCCAGAGTCGGTCATGACTTTACCTAATGGTCAGGGGTCCCTTTACCTTTACCTTAAAGGAGGCAGTAGGGATGTGCGTGGCACTGTGGTCTAAACCACTGAGCCTCTTGGACTTGCCAATCAGAAGGTCAGCGGTTCGATTCCCCGTGATGGCGTGAGCTCCTGTTGCTCGGTCCCAGCTCCTGCCAACCTAGCAGTTTGAAAGGATGCCAGTGCAATTTGATAAATAGGTACCGTTCCGGCGGGAAGGTAAATGGCGTTTCCATGCGCTACTCTGGTTTCGCCAGAAACGGCTTAGTCATGCTGGCTACATGACCCAGAAAAACTGTCTGCGGGCAAACGTCGGCTCCCTTGGCCAGTAAAGCGAGACAAGCACCTCAACCCCAGAGTCGTTTGCGACTGGACTTAACCGTCAGGACTCCTTTACCTTTACCTTTAAAGGAGGCAGTGGAAGACAGGACTGCCTGGCGTGCTCTGGTCCATGGGGTCATGAAGAGTCGGACACGACTAAATGACTAAACAACAACAACAACAAACTACACCTCCCAGGCTTCTTTGGGGGAAGCATCACACATGAGCAGTTCCAAAGGCAGCAATTATGGTTAATGCGCAACAGCGCATTTTAAAATCACACCCCACCCTCGCATGGCCAGCTTGTGCGTTCCCTCTTCATTTCTAATCTTATGCATAATGTGCAAATTAGTAACAGCACAGAAACAAGCCTTGGGCACCAAACAGAACTAGTTTAGGAAGTCTAACCTCCTGGTTGAGGCCAAGAGGAATCAAGTGAATCAGCAGCTTATCTCTCAAGCTCGGAGACAAAAGGATCCCACAACAGGAAACAGTGGAACTCTTCTATTCCCAGGGAACAGCTTGTAGGTCACCAAGTATCTCTCTAGATGGTTGTGGGGCTTCCAGAAAACCATAATTGCAGCTGTCTCACTCTTCAACGCATGGCACAGGGTTGAAAGATTTCCACACACATGCACTCATGAGGGCTAGTAACTTTTTTTTTAAAAAAAAATAATTTTTATTAACAGGCCAATTACATCACATTATCCATATCACATTAATTCCAAATTATACAGCCAAATTTTAAATTTTGTTGGGGGTACCCATACATCAAGCTCCGCTCGAGTCCAAAACAGCATCACTTATCTTACTGCTTTCATTAGACAGTTCTGTCCAGTTTGATCCGGATAGTCCTTTATTACTTCCTTTCTCTCCTTGTTGTTATCATAAATTCCTTTCTTTGCGATCTCTGATGATTTTCACAAGCAGGTTAAAAGCTGGCATTCTATGTGGATTTTGTACTCTTCCAAAAATCATATCGATCAGGGACAGCCTCTGTACAACACTTCCATAAACAAATTAATCTCCGATCTGTCCTTTATTTTTCTCAGGCTTACCAAATAAATCAAATGAGTCTGGGGGCTCTGTCAGGCCAAACTCACATTCCAACATTCCTTCTCGTTCGAACAATCTTGATTCTCCTCCCCCAGTCCTTCTTCCTCCGGCAAGCCTGAGGGCTAGTAACTTTTAGTGTATGTGTTCTTAGATCGAAACTTATCTCTTTGGGACAGCATATTCCTCAAGAAGAGGCCTCTTTAGCAGAAGCAAAAGTATATGAAGGTCTAGAAAGGCTTGTTCTCACCACGTACGGGCAGCTTCCCTGCTCGTTTTTGTCTCAGATATGTGGCTTTGTCCTGTGGCCAATGTCAACATGATGATCACAAGATGCTTATGATAGCCCCTCAGGAAGATGGGTTTAAGGGGTGCGGGGCAGAGGACGAGACAAATGTGGAGGTAGAATAATCTACCAAGAGGTAGTAGCCATGAGGTATAGCTCAGTGGACCTTTCATGTTCAAAGGCTGTGTACCTCTGAAGTGACAGACCGAAGGCCTATTGCAGATATTAATATTGTGTGCTTTGAAGCGACTGGGTGGTGCATAAGAACTGGCTCCTTTTGGAAGTAATCATTGTCCAGATCCATAAAAGTTTTATTTCAAACTTTACTTGCAGAACCCTTCAAAAAACAGTAAATACAGCAAATGCAAAATACAGTATACATCCCAAATATCAAAAGGTCTTGTGCAATGTCCAGCACAGGCTCAGCGTCTTAGAAATAAAAGATCGCTTCAGAAATCAAAACAGTGTCTCCCTCTCTCCCATTCCAATCCGCTTTAGGCTGCCTAAGGCTATGTCCCTCTTGGAGAGCCATTATTATCACATCCTTTTGTTCTCTGTGGCTTTCAGAGAATGACAAACAGCCACCACCTTTTCAAGATGAGGATTTGCAACTCCTTGCCTTAGTCACATGATCAAAGGTTACATTCAGTTTAGAGTAACAGAAAACCGTCAACAGGTAATCATTTAGGAGCTTAGAGTCCCTTAGAAAACTAGTGTAAGGGGGGAAAACCCATGTTAGCAATACAGTGGTACCTCGGGTTAAGTACTTAATTCGTTCCGGAGGTCCGTACTTAACCTGAAACTGTTCTTAACCTGAAGCACCACTTTAGTTAATGGGTCCTCCTGTTGCTGCCGCGCCGCCGGAGCACGATTTCTGTTCTCATCCTGAAGCAAAGTTCTTAACCTGAAGCACTATTTCTGGGTTAGCGGAGTCTGTAACCTGAAGCGTATGTAACCTGAAGCGTATGTAACCCGAGGTACCACTGTACACATTTCAGTGTACACAATTTCAGAATTGTTAAGTATAATTGGTTTAATTTACACTGAAATTGAATGTCTGTGTAGTGGAATGAAGGTTTAACATTGAGAATGGCTAAATACGTGTTGGACCATGATGGGCCATTGGCACAATCCAATAGGCTCTGAAATGCTGATAGATTTCCATGAGGATTTTTTTAAATATAAAAGTTGCAAATGGCTGCAGAATGTGTGTTGCTGGCATCTGTCTGTATCGAAAAATCATGGAATGTACCTTCGGGGGTGAAGTAATACTGCTGGAGAATCACAGCGCCTGCTGTGGCCGCAGAGACTGGTAACTCCTAATTGCTGCCTCCTGTGCTGTTTTTGCTGCGTTTGTTGTTGTTTAGTCGTTTAGTCGTGTCCGACTCTTCGTGACCCCCTGGACCAGAGCACGCCAGGCACTCCTGTCTTCCACTGCCTCCCGCAGTTTGGTCAAACTCATGCTGGTAGCTTCCAGAACAGTATCCAACCATCTCGTCCTCTGTCATCCCCTTCTCCTTGTGCCCTCCATCTTTCCCAACATCAGGGTCTTTTCCAGGGAGTCTTCTCTTCTCATGAGGTGGCCAAAGTCTTGGAGCCTCAGCTTCAGGATCTGTCCTTCCAGTGAGCACTCTGGGCTGATTTCCTTCAGAATGGAGAGGTTTGATCTACTTGCAGTCCATGGGACTCTCAAGAGTCTCCTCCAGCACCATAATTCAAAAGCATCCATTCTTCGGCGATCAGCCTTCTTTATGGTCCAGCTCTCACTTCCACACATCACTACCGGGAAAACCATGGCTTTAACTATACGGACCTTTGTTGGCAAGGTGATGTCTCTGGTTTTTTTTTGCTGCGTTAGCAGGCACCTAAATAACCTCTCCAGGGAGCAGTCCTGGCCAGTGTGTATGGAGGTCCTGGGCTGCCCAGACGGCAATATCCCCCTCTTGACCTTGTTGACGTGGTCCAAAGGAAAGCAGAGCAATAAGTTTGGTACCAGCTTGGCTGCAGGAGTCGCCAGAAGGAGGTGTACAAGGCGCCATCCAACCGTCTTAGGGACTCCACTCCAGATTTGTGTAGGGTTATCCCAAAAATGCAAAATGTGGGGAACTGGGAAAATGAGAAACGGAGTTAATGCAAAGGTCTAGCCAAGTCTGGTGCAAAAGGCAGGGCAGGCTGAGATGGCACTGGGCATCAGGAAGGAAGCTAGTTTGGGCCTCTAAAATTCCAGGGAGTTGAACGATCATGGTGTTGTAAACAAAAATTGCCCTTTTCCCTTATGGGGTATCCAAGAGCCCATATAGAGTCCTTACATAGGTTCCCTGTTGGTAGGAGAAAATAACAGAGGCCAACCAGAGAATATTGAGAAGCAAAGCAGCTAGTAAGCTTGATCTTTATTGATCTGTTGCAACAGGGTGCTCCCCTCACACGCAGGAAAGGAGGAGGACCAGAAAAATGGTGTGCAAGGCCTATGGGCCTGCTTCGCAAGACGAAACGTCTTGCGAGTTCTTGCGAGTTTGTTTCCTTTTTCTTAAAGCCGCTAAGCCGTTAATAGCCGCTAAGCCGCTAATAGCCGCTAAGCCGCTAATAGCCGTGCTTCGCAAGACGAAAAAACTTTTCCTTTGGCACCGCACACCACTGGCACACGACCCCTGGAAGGTTTTGCAGAAGGCAACTTGGCACATATGTTGGGAAACGCTCCCTATCTTGCGCTGGGTCTTGTCACATTGCAAGGCAGTTGTTGGGTTACGTCAAAGTGTGTGTGATTTCCTGATAAGCAGGTCTCAACCCTTCTGCACATAGGTGCGACTTCTCTCAAGATTTGCTGGAAGCATCATGAGGACTGTGGGGGCCAGCCTTTTCCTCCTCTTCTTCCTCCTTCAGGTGGTCGCAGATGCCACAGGTAAGTGGAAAGGGCCACTGTACTGTGAGGGAGGGGAGACATAAGGATTTAAGAGCGCTGCTGGGCTGGGTCACCTAAGGGCAGCTCTAGAGAGAACAGCCCTCTGTTTCAGGGAGAGAGGAAACTGGTGCTCTCCAGTTGCTGCTGAAGCTCATGGGAGTTGGAGTCCAAGGACACTGCTGAACTACAACTCCCATCATCCCTGCCCATTGGCCATTCCGACCGGGGCTGATGGGAGCTGGAGTATCAGGCGGCAGAGGAACCAACCCCCAAGGCAGGTTGCCAGGAACGGATAAGACAAGGAAAAGTCCTTTGTTGTTGTTGTTGTTTAGTGGTGTCCGACTCTTCGTGACCCCCTGGACCAGAGCACGCCAGGCACTCCTGTCTTCCACTGCCTCCCACAGTTTGGTCAAACTCATGCTGGTAGCTTCGAGAATACTATCCAACCATCTCATCCTCTCGTCCCCTTCTCCTTGTGCCCTCCATCTTTCCCAACATCAGGGTCTTTTCCAGGGAGTCTTCTCTTCTCATGAGGTGACCAAAGTACTGGAGCCTCAGCTACAGGATCTGTCCTTCCAGAGAGCACTCAGGGCTGATTTCCTTCAGAATGGATCAGTTTGATCTTCTTGCAGTCCATGGGACTCTCAAGAGTCTCCTCCAGCACCATAGTTCAAAAGCATCCATTCTTCGGCAATCAGCCTTCTTAATGGTCCAGCTCTCACTTACCATCTGCTTTTATCCAATATTTACAGCGAGAGAGAATGTTTCGAAGATTATACGTTAAAGTATTGTTCTAAGAAAGATATGCTAATGTGCTTAGGATAAGAATGTAAAGTATATGTACGAGCTGGAAAAGAAAAGAGATGAAAGAAGTACAAACAATGATATATTTGGAGAATGCAAGGATAAATGTGGAGAGAGAGATTTAAAGAAGTCGAATTGTGGCGGAGGAAAGCTGCGGGTGGGTGGGGAGTGCTATGCAACAAGTGTGTCTGTTTTCAGTGTTTTTGAACTGTGTTTCTTTGTTCTTTTTAAATTTCATTTCCCCCCTTTCTGTTGATGTTCTGTTTTTGCTGTATTATTAAAAATAAAATAAAATAAAATAAAATAAAATATTTACACAGAGAGGGTTGGAAATGCAGCCTCTTGGAATAATGGCGCTGCCCAGAGTAAATCTCCCCTCCCTTCTCTTCCACATCCTAATTCGTCACCCCTTCTACAGGTGGCGCTGAGGCCCCTTTGCTTCTGAGCTTTGCTCTCCTACTTTTAAGGCTCGCCGGGTTCTGGGAGATGGTGGGTCTGGAATGCTTTCCAGTGATAACGTGTCAGCCAGCCGCTCTGCCTGCTGCCTCCTCCTCCTCTCCCATTATTTCCCAAATTTCCCCCCTCATCTTCCTCTGAGCTGTGACCTCCCTCAAACCCCTGTTGTAATTCTGAGCTGCCTCCTCCTTCTCTGGAAGAGTCAGGCTGGGGAAGCAGTCTCCCCCATTCCCTGCCCTTGCACCCTGCCCTTACTTGCAGTCTTCCCATGAAGGCATAAGGTTGGGCCCTGTGAGAAGAGGGTTCTGGATTAGATGGGGGCCCTTGGCTTGATCCAGTTTGAACAGCGCCGGCGAAGAGCCCCAAAGAGCCCCAACTTACAGGGAACCAGGCAGAGGGCCTTCTCAGTAGTGGCACCCGCCCTGTGGAACGCCCTCCCATCAGATGTCAAAGAGAAAAATAACTACCAAACTTTTAGAAGACATCTGAAGGCAGCCCTGTTTAGGGAAGCTTTTAATGTTTAATAGGTTATTGTATTTTAGTGTTTTGTTGGAAGCCGCCCAGAGTGGCTGGGGAAATAAATAAATATATATTATTATTATTATTAAATGTACATAGCGCTGAGGGCCTTCTGGCGGTTCCCTCATTGCAAGAAGTGAGGTTACAAGGAACCAGGCAGAGGGCCTTCTTGGTAGTGGCGCCCACCCTGTGGAACGCCCTCCCTTCAGATGTGAAGGAAATAAGCAGCTATCTTATCTTTAAAAGACCTCTGAAGGCAGCCCTGTTTAGGGAAGTTTTTAATATTTAATGCTGTATTGTTTTTAACACTTGATTGGGAGCCGCCCAGAGTGGCTGGGGAAACTCAGCCAGATGGGCGGGGCATAAATAAATAAATTATTATTATTATTATTATTATTATTATTATTATTATTATTATTATTATTTTGCTCATCTCTAGAGCAGAGGGGGAGAGCTCAGTTGGAAGGGTATGGGACTCTTAATCTTAAAGACATGGGTTCGAGCCCACCTTGGGCACAAGATTCCAACAGGGGGTTGGAATAGATGACCCTCATGGTCCCTTTCAACTTTTCTATTATTATATTATCATTATTATTAACAATAGCATCCTGCCTTTCCGCCTGTATGAACGTCAATTCAGGAAATAACAGACCCTCCAAGTGTCCTGATTTCCCAGGGACAGTCCTGGAATTACAGAAGTCCCAGTTTCTGATTTGATCCCAGACTGTTACGCTTGTCGTTTTTGAAGGATGTCCCTATTTTCATCGGAGAAATGTTGGAGGGGGTGCAAGCTAAGGGACACTGGTGCTGTCCTCAAGGTTGAGGCCTTGTAGTGTTAATGTTTCCAGTGTGTACAACCAGAATTTCTCCTTTCTTTTTGTTTTTATACTAATGTTGAGGGATCTGTGGGCGTCCCTACAGCAGTTATAGCAATTAACTGCAATAGCAATTAACTAATTTATGATTAGCTGCACCCTTCCCAAACCCAGATGTGGTGAGCTGAACTTAAGATTGGAAAAAAGAGAAACCGCAATTATTATTTTGTAATTTGTTGAAATAATACCTCGCCTTTCCTCCCCAAGGGAGCCCAGGGCACAATTTAAAAGCAAAAACACAACAGAAGCATCTTAAAACAGTTAAAACATTCCAAAAGCAATTTATGTTAAAATAAAATAAAATACAAACATTCGAAAAGCAGTTACGGCTAAAAGCAGTCTTCCAACCAGGTATCTTGAGTTGCCTGGAACAGTAGCCTTCAGTCAGCAAATGCCCTGGCTAAACACATAACCTCCAACATTTCTCCCATGAAAATAGGGACGTCCAAGGGGACGCGGGTGGCCCTGTGGGTTAAACCACAGAGCCTAGGGCTTGCTGATCAGAAGGTTGGTGGTTTGAATCCCCGTGACGGGGTAAGTTCCCGTTGCTCGGTCCCTGCTCCTGCCAACCCAGCAGTTCGAAAGCATGTCAAAGTGCAAGTAGATAAATAGGTACCGCTCGGGCGGGAAGTTAAACGGCGTTTCTGTGCGCTGCTCTGGTTCGCCAGAAGCGGCTTAGTCATGCTGGCCACATGACCCGGAAGCTGTACGCCAGCTCCCTTGGCCAGTAAAGCGAGATGAGCGCCGCAACCCCAGTCGGCCACGACTGGACCTAATGGTCAGGGGTCCCTTTACCTAAGGAAAAGGGGGACATTCCGGGATCAAAACAGAAATGGACGGCTTCTGTACATACAGGTCTGTCCCTGGAAAATAGGGACACTTGGAGGGTCTGAAAACAGTTATTGGATGTTAAATTTGAACAACAACAACAACAACAACAACAACAAATATGTTAGGGAAGGCCACCTCAGAGCATGTGCAGAGCACCCCCTCTGAAAGGAGCCATTTTCCTCCTGCTGCTCAGCTTTGTGTCTTTTCCATCTCTCACCTAGCGACCTCCCCTTGCGCGCCCAAGCATGTCGGCCCTGGTGCCATGGTGTGCGTCTGCAACGCAACTTACTGCGACATGATGGGCCCCCTCTCCCTCCCGCCCGAGGGCACCTTCGTCAAGTACCTGAGCAGCAAGGCTGGCAAGCGCCTGGAGCGAAGCCAAGGGAAGCTTTTGGCAAACAGGAAACGCTCAGGTAAGGAGGGCCTTCTCTAAACAGGTGGGTTGGAGGAAGAAACATGACACTCCATCAGGCTTTCTCTTCCTCCGCTGTTGCCTGGCAGTAGCTGTGCCACCAGACTGCCTCAGCGAGAGAGATGGGAAGTGAGGCTCATCAGCCATCCCCAAAGCCCAGCTCCATCAGAAGAAGAAGAAGAGTTTGGATTTGATATCCCGCCTTTCACTCCCTTTTAAGGAGTCCCAAAGCAGCCAACATTCTCCTTTCCCTTCCTGCCCCACAACAAACACTCTGTGAGGTGAGTGGGGCTGAGAGACTTCAAAGAAGTGTGACTGGCCCAAGGTCACCCAGCAGCTGCATGTGGAGGAGCGGAGACGCGAACCCGGTTTCCCAGATTACGAGATTACCGCTCTTAACCACTACACCACACTGGTACTTCTTGTCCCTGAGCTGTGCCAACTGGTCATTATAACTGCCTAATAACTGGTGCCCGATTTAATTCCCTACTTTCTTCCCTTCTTGTCCCGTCTCCCTTGCATGTCATGTTTTCTTAGACTGTAAGCCTGCAGACAAGGACTGCAATGCTTTAATTTCTTGCATGTTTTTATTTAAATTGCATTCAATTTCTTCATGCATAGGGACGCGGGTGGCACTGTGGGTTAAACCACAGAGCCTAAGGCTTGCCGATCAAAACGTCCGCGGTTTGAATCCCTGCGATGGGGTGAGCTCCAGTTGCTCGGTCCCTGCTCCTGCCAACCTAGCAGTTTGAAAGGACGCCAGTGCAAGTAGATAAATAGGTACCGCTCTGCCGGGAAGGTAAATAGCGTTTCCGTGCGCTGCTCTGGTTCACCAGAAGTGGCTTAGTCATGCTGGCCACATGACCCAGAAGCTGTACGCTGGCTCCCTCGGCCAGTAAAGCGAGATGAGTGCCGCAACCCCAGAGTCGTCCACGACTGGACCTAATGGTCAGGGGTCCCTTTACCTTTACACCTTTTTTTTGAGCAGGGTAGAAACGCTCTCAATAAATATAGATCAATATAAGAAGAATTTGGGGTTGGCTTTGACAGACGAACTCTTTAAGTTCATTATTGGTCAGAGGAGAATGAGTGGAGGCAGGAACCAGTCAAAGCAAGGAAGATGTTTATTTTTCTGTTGCAACAGAGTCGCCCCCACCTTGCAAGAGGGTGAGGGGAGCCAGAACAAAGATGTGTGACCATTTTTAAGGGCTTCAGAAATTGCCCAGCCCCTTAGCCAAAGACCACCTACAAGCACGTCTACAACAGAGAGTGTGTGGCTTGTTTCCTGTTTGTCAAGATACCTGATAATTCTTTCTGACTGTCCCATCTTGGCCAGTTTGGGCCACTGTTTTGAAATGGTAAATACAGCTTAGTTCTTGAATTGTCCCAGAGCTCCTCTATTCATGTGAGAAGTCCATCCACGCTCAGGAACTTGGAAGGATATTGCAAGTGAAAAGAACTATTGGGAAATGTTTTTCCTTCTACTGCAGAGAAAATAATCTGGGGTCATTTTTTAAGAGAGCCAAGATGGCTTTGGGATTAAAAGGTAAAGGGACCCCTGACCATTAGGTCTAGTCGTGACCGATTCTGGGGTTGCGGCGCTCATCTCGCTTTATTGGCCAAGGGAGCCGGCATACAGCTTCCAGGTCATGTGGCCAGCATGACTAAGCCGCTTCTGGTGAACCAGAGCAGCACACGGAAACGCTGTTTACCTTCCCGCCGGAGCGGTACCTATTTATCTACTTGCACTTTGAGGTGCTTTCGAACTGCTAGGTTGGCAGGAGCTGGGACCGAGTAACGGGAGCTCACCCTGTCGTGGGGATTCAAACCGCCGGCCTTCTAATTGGCAAGTCCTAGGCTCTGTGGTTTAACCCACAGCACCACCTGCGTCCTGGCTTTGGGATTGCTCTCCTGCAATACCTCAGACATGCGGTTTATGAGCATAAGTATGCGCGTTTATCTTGTGCACTTAGGAACATTGATTTTATTCGTGACGCTTTAGAATTTTAATAGCACAATAAAGGACTGCGTACCACATTTGGCCAAATCCTGAGCCACATCAGGCCAATTTGCGGGCCAAGGACGATTGATTCCACGTTGCTCCCAGAATACCTGCGTCAGGGCGGGCCTCCTATGTCGATCCCTAACATGCTAGTGAAACAAAACCTGGCAGGAGTCAACAGAGCCGTCTTTAGCATAAGCGCCGCCGGGGTGCAGAGATCCGTCCAGCGCCCCCAATTTTAGTTTACCCCCCATGAATTTCTAATTACTCCAAAATGTGTTTCTCGCTTAGCATTTGTCGCAAAATGAAGAAAAAATGCAGCTTGCGGAATTCATAGTGTGTGTGGGCTTTAGGTGTGTTTTTGCGGAAATTGAAAACTAAAATCGATTGCTGAAACGCATGTGAAGTAGAGCCCTAAGTACTAAGTAGTTAGTCAAAGAAAATGCCGACAATTAGCGAAAATAAACATTATTTTTATAACGAATTCTCTAAACGAATTTGAACTGTAAGTGATGAAATTAAAATGCAGTTTGCAATGTTTCACTCGGGGTCAGCGGCACCTTTGGCACGACTGATCTCGGCAGCGTGAGATCAGTCATGTCAAAGGTGCAGCTGACCCCACTGCTGCTGCTGGGTGCCCCCCAGAATTCGGTGCCCAGATGCCCTGCACCCCTTTCACCCCCGGGTAAAGACGGCCCTGGGCTCAACCCTCCTGCTCTCAGTCAGGGCGGAGGAAGAAGGAAGTAGAGACTCTTTCTTACCTCACCCCACCGCAATGGACTCGGGGTAATTCTGGACTGGGTTAGAGGCAACTGGGGGATGAGATTGGGAAGGAGGCTATGAGCAGCTCTAGTAACCTCTTCTTCTCCCAGACCTAACTCACTCCCTCCATCTCTACCTCCTCTGAAGGGCTCCTGTATTCCTACAATCCGTGCGTTCACTACCAGTGTATTAAAGGTTTCGGTGGCTCCCACACAGACTCATCCTCAATTAATATCCTGCAGTTGTCTCCACCAGCCCAAGAGCACCTCCTCCGGTCCTACTTCTCCAAAGACGGTAAGCAAATCCAGAGGTTTGTATTTTGTATTTATTTAATCCATAAATCGATTCACTTAAAGTCCCCTGTTTCCCTCCCCATCTCGCTGCCAGGCATCGAGTACAACCTTTTGCGCTTGCCCATTGGCTGTTCGGACTTCTCCACTCGCCCGTACTCTTACGACGACGACTGCCCCGACGACTTTGAGCTGAAATGTTTCAGCCTAGTGCAGGAGGACACCAAGTTAAAAGTGAGTGGAGCCGGCTTGAAAGGGGAGCCCTCTGCTCCCCTCCTGTGGTTCTCCCAGATACCAATAGCAGACTCCCTTCTCCAGGGGACTCCCTAAGGACTCTCAGCACCCTTAACAAAACTGCAGTTCAGGGCAGTTCAGGCTTGTTTTACAACAACAAAGAGCTAAAGTTACAACGAGAAATTCTGTTTTAAAAACTGAAATGTAGCTGTGTGGAACAGCCACAGGACAGTTCGTGAAAATTCACCAGTGTTTTAAGATGCACTTTCCCCCTAAAGTACAGTCGTACCTTGGATCCTGAACGCCTTGCGAGTCGAACGTTTTCGGCTCCCGAACATTGCAAACCTAGAAGTGAGCATTTCGGTTTGCGAATGCTCTTTTGGAAGCCAAACGCCCGATTTGGCTTTCGTGGCTTCCGAACATTTTGGAAGTCAAACGGATTTCCGGAATGGAATCTGTTTGACTTCCGAGGTACCACTGTACACATTTCTGCAAGTAGATTTCCCTAACATAATGCATTTCTGTATCTTATTTTCATGAATGTATACATATTCATATAATATACATATGCATATGTACATATAGGGGACGCGGGTGGCGCTGTGGGTAAAAGCCTCAGCGCCTAGGGCTTGCCGATCGAAAGGTCGGCGGTTCGAATCCCCGCGGCGGGGTGCGCTTCCGTTGTTCGGTCCCAGCGCCTGCCAACCTAGCAGTTCGAAAGCACCTCAAAGTGCAAGTAGATAAATAGGGACCGCTTACTGGCGGGAAGGTAAACGGTGTTTCCGTGTGCAGCTGTGGCTCGCCAGAGCAGCGATGTCATGCTGGCCACGTGACCCAGAAGTGTCTCCAGACAGCGCTGGCCCCAGGCCTCTTGAGTGAGATTGGCGCACAACCCTAGAGTCTGTCAAGACTGGCCCGTACGGGCAGGGGTACCTTTACCTTTACCTTATGTACATATATATATGTATATACAGTACCTCAGGTTACAGCCACTTCAGGCTGCGTTTTTTCGGGTTACGGACCTCCAAAACCCGGAAGTACAGGAACTGGTTACTTCTGCGTTTTGGCGGTCACGCATGCGCAGAAGCACCGAATCACAACCCGCGTGTGCATAGACACAGGTTGCGAACGTGCATCCCGCACAGATCATGTTCGCAACCCGAGCATCCACTGTATATACATATGTATACAATACGCATTTCCCACCCCAACAATTCCCCCAATAGACACGTTTTGATAAACGTTATTTGGTTTATTGCAAATTTCAGAGAAGTGCCCGTTCCGACAGATATTTCTCTGCCTCAGCCCATGCGAATTAGTGCGTGTTGCGCTGAAACACAAAAACCAAACTGGATTTCGCCTCCATCCCTACACACACCCTAAAACTACAAATCCCCTCAGTCCCCAGGGGCTTATGCAATTCCTCCAGAGGCTACTCAGGAGAGGAGAGCTGGCCAATGGGGTGACTTTTTGTGGGGCTGTGGATGTCGCCAGACCCCCAAACCCAACTTGGAAGTCTATAGGGATTTTCCTGCTTGCCCCCCCCCCAGGTGGATGAGAGCACAATCTCCACCCGGCCTCCCTAACCAGCTTAAGAAGGAAGGTTCCTCTCCCTTCGCTGGACCTTTAGCAAAGGTTTGCCTCCATTTCCATCCAGCAATGTAAATTCCTCGTTTGTTTAGACCAGGCTTCCTCAACCTCGGCCCTCCAGATGTTTTTGGCCTACAACTCCCATGATCCCTAGCTAGCGGGGCCAGTGGTCAGGGATGATGGGAACTGTAGTCTCAAAACACCTGGAGGGCCGAGGCTGAGGAAGCCTGGTTTAGACACTGCGTTTTAAATTTGAATGCCATGCCCCTAGGGACTGCGCTCCGTGCTTAACCTGCCCCACTCGATGACGTCCCTGGGGCTGGCCCCCTAGGCCTCAGGTACGGGACCTAATATTGAAGCACGTGAAAATATAGTGGTACCTGCTTAGGGCGGAACAAGGACCGGACAGACACAGCTTTGGAGAAAAAGAAGGTGAGGGTTTATTGCTGAGCAATAATGGACCCAGTTGGAATCTTTTCCAAAAGACTGGGACCCCGAAGCATACAAATCCTGAGGTTATATACCTGAGCAAATCACAGATCATGAGACAGTCACGCACGCCAGCGAAAAATAACCAATTAGCGCTTCTTGCCATGCCCCTGGCCGTGCGCAGAGTTCACTCCCAACTTCTGCTTTCCATTGTCTGCACAATGATGCACAGTCTGACCTATTCCCTAGTTCTGACAGTACGGGGAAATGAGACTCAAGGAGAGAATCTCCTGGCGCTACCTGCCCCTATATATTCTGCCTCATGTAGGGAGTTTTTGTGGTTTGGCCCTTCCTGTTTCGTGGACCATTTTAGCCTGGATTTGAGGGGGGGATTTGTACCAGTGTCTTCTCATTCATGGCTTCCCCTTTCCTCTAGGGTGCAAGGATGTTTCTAGGTAAAAGGTCGATTCTGGACTTGCGGTTCCAAGCAGTTTGCAGTTAGCTTAGGCAAAAGCTTTTCTTGATCCAAATGGATTATAAAATCACTGTAAGCCCTGTTATGTGCGAGCATATATGAATATATTGTTTACTGATAACTATATGAATAGCATAAGGGTAGCCCCCCTTTTCTTGCTTCAATATCTCTGGGATGCTCCTGGATCTGCTCACTGGATCCCCATCACCTCTCCCCGTAGATCCCTCTCCTTCAACGCATCCTGGCCTTATCTCAGCGACCCCTCTCCCTTATTGCCAGTCCATGGTCTAGCCCAAGTTGGATGAGAGTCAACGGCAGAGTGGAGGGCAAATCGAGGCTGAAGGGGAAAGCTGGAGACATGTACCACAAAACGTGGGCCCGCTACTTCGTCAGGTAACACCCGTTGGTCCGCCAGCGCACATGCGCACACACGTTCCTTGGAGAAAGGGAGGATGGGATGAGTCGTGCCACAGAGACCCGTGGCTTGGCGCTCCCTCAAACAGCCCAACGCTGCTGGCGCCCTGACCCCGAATTGAGACGTGGGGGAACCCGAGACGCAGGCCAAGCGATTAATGCAATTTCACATGCAATCCCAAATTACCCCAACAAGAACTTGGGGGGGGGGAGGGCAAATGCTCCACTCAGCAGAAGGAGAGGTCCCCCCAGAATAACGAGGCTGCCTTATTGCAATTTGAGCATCTCATGCTGTTGTTTATGTGGTAATTCTACTTTACAGAGTTGTGTGGAATTCGTTTGACCCTGTTTTTAGTCATACTGTTTCTCTCTCGGGGAAAAGGCTGTGCGAGGTACTTGGCTTAGAGCCCCACAGGAGGGCAATTTGATTTGGGGAGGGGGCAATTTGAGAATGAGTTATTAACAGTGAATGGCGTTTTAGGCTTCCTCCACATGAATAGTTCACTTTTTAAATAATAAAAATTATATGTCACAGGTGTGGGTGTGTCAGGATATTATTATTATTATTATTGTTGTTGTTGTTTATTAATAATTATATTATTAATAATAATAATACCCCACTCATCTAGCTAGGTTTTCCCAACCTCTCTGGGTGGCTCCCAACAGGATATTAAAAACACAATAAAACATCAAACATTAAAAACTTCCCTAAACCGGGCTGGGCTGACTTCAGATACCTTATAAAGGTTAGATAGTTGTTTATTTCCTTGACATCTGCTTAGGTGGGGCACGGCCAAACAAAAAAAAAAGGTTGGGAACCACTGGTTTAGAGTTTAAAAGAACACACAGCTTTGACTCGGCATACCTGTCCTTGTCAGATTGAATGTACAAGGCAGGTAGTTAATAACTTGTGTCTCTGAAACATGTTTACTTGAATTCGTATCTGAGACTGGCTAATATTTGCAGACTGACTCTGAGGCACATGGCCGCATGCAAACCGCACGCCTGCTGCTCTCACAGTTAAAACTCACTCAGTGGTTGACAGCTGAGCTAACTGAAAAAACTGCCTTCTGTGGTGAGACATCCTTATGCTACAGAATTAACCCTTTGCGTAGTATTTTGGATGCACCATTCGCACAGTTGAAAGCCCTGAACAAACACAGTCGGAGGCAGTGCCGTGGGAGGCGATTTTCGTTTCAAATAGCTCGACAACTTTGCCAAAAAAAGAGAGCCGGATTTTCACTGTTGGGAACATGGCAACCCTTGCAGGTGGCAGCCTGGGAGAGGGCCTTCTCTGTGGCAGCCCCTAAATTGTGGAAGTTCCTGCCCACAGAGATCCAACTGGCACCTTCATTATGCAGCTTCTGTCAAATGCTGAAGACGCATCTCTTTGCCCTGGCTTTTGATACCTGAGCTGTATACCGTATTTTTTGCTCTATAAGACTCACTTTTCCCTCCTAAAAAGTAAGGGAAATGTGTGTGCGTCTTATGGAGCGAATGCAGGCTGCGCAACTATCCCAGAAGCCAGAACAGCAAGAGGGATTGCTGCTTTCACTGCGCAGCGATTCCTCTTGCTGTTCTGGCTTCTGAGATTCAGAATATTTTTTTTATTGTTTTCCTCCTCCAAAAACTAGGTGCGTCTTGTGGTCTGGTGCGTCTTATAGAGCGAAAAATACGGTATTTTTTTAGGACCCACCTTTTTTCAAGTTTTTTCAAACTGTTTTTAATATTGTGTTGTAACCCACCCTGGGAACTTAGGGCAAAGGCTAGTTAAAATAATAATAATAATAATAATAATAATAATAATTCTGCCTCCTGGTGGAAAAACATACACAAATAAACTGCACTTTAAATGTACATCACGACCTCTAGTGGCATCATCTATTAGTTTCAAAGTAAATAACACTGCAAAAGTCCAACTTGTGCATTTGCATCATCAGTGCACAGCAAGATCTGGTTAAAAGAAATGAACCAGATTAATAGACATATTTCCAATTTCAGCAGCTTCCGCACTTTAAAAGTACTTGGGAAAGTGGAAGATGTAACGTTAGCAGCAGGGGGAATAGGTCCATTGTAGCTGAAGGCAATGGGACGCGGGTGGCGCTGTGGTTTAAGCCACAGAGCCTAGGACTTGCTGATCAGAAGGTCGGCGGTTCGAATCCCCGTGACGGGGTGAGCTCCCGTTGCTCAGTCCCTGCTCCTGCCAACCTAGCAGTTCGAAAGCACGTCCAAATGCAAGTAGATAAATAGGTACCACTCCGGCAGGAAGGTAAACGGCGTTTCCGTGCGCTGCTCTGGTTTGCCAGAAGCGGCTTAGTCATGTTGACAACATGACCCGGAAGCTGTACGCCGGCTCCCTCGGCCAATAAAGCGAGATGAGTGCCGCAACCCCAGAGTCGGCCACGACTGGACCTAATGGTCAGGGGTCCCTTTACCTTTACCTAGCTGAAGGCAACTTCAGTTCCATTCATAGGAATTAATGCAATGCGGGACTTAAATGTAAGACATATATTAAGAGCTTTTGTCCTCCGCTGCCAACAGACAGAAATTTCTCAGGTCCTGCCAACACTTTTACCAGAATCCCCTTCATGGAGAACAGAGTAGTAGCAGCAGTAGCAGCAGCAACAACAACAACAAGAACAAATAATAAATAATAATAATAATAATAATAATAATAATAATAATAATAATAATAATCTGCAGTAAAGAGGGTTCTATGCCCATTACCAACAAAACTTTAAATTCTAAAGGATGAAGGCCTGCATTGGGACTTTTAACCCCAAAGTCCAGGATTACTCAACTGCTCCACTGCCTCTTTGTAAGCAAAAGGAACAGAAACTTTAATTTAAATTTAAAGCTGAACATTTGGGGATGGGGTAGAAAATCCCTGAGACCCTCGCAGCCTCCTCCCAAAGCATAGCTCTGGCCCTTTTCATGTACTGAGCGCCGGGGCTAACATCCCCTCTTTCCTCCATCTGTTGGGGTCCAGGTTCCTGGATGAATACGCCAGACACAACATCACCTTCTGGGCGGTGACACCCCAGAACGAGCCCAACAGTGCTGTCCTCTCGCCCAGTGGCGACTTCCCCGTCAACCGCCAGACGGCCGAAGAGGCGCGAGACTTCATCATCCTAGACCTGGGCCCTGAACTGGCCAACAGCTCCCACAAAGATGTCCTGCTCATCATGTATGATGACCAGAGGTCCGAAATCCTCGACTGGGCCAAAGTGGTAGGTCCCCAGTTCACTATCTCCCATCAAAGCGGTGCCATAGTGCCTGAAAAGCATGGTGGGGGTGTGGCCTTGCATTTGTTGGCCCCACCTAAAATTGGCTCTGGGTCCGCCTGCTGTTTGGCTCCCTGGCATCCACCTCCACCAGATCCCAATGGGCAGGCAGGCCGCATGGCGATCTGAAAAGCCAGTTTGCCACCCAAACTGACCCCACCAATGTGACCCGGTGTGATGGCCTGGGAATCTGACTCAGAGTCTGAACCTGAAGAATCCCAGCCTGCAAAGGGGTCCCCGCCTCCAGGGCTGGCTGAGCCGGGGCAGGGGCTTGAACCTGAAGGGCCCTCACCTGTGCTGGATCCTCAGGTGCAGGCACCAGCTGAGTCTGCTCTGGCTCCTGAGGTGATGGAGGACCCATTGCCTGCAGGTGCTCCACTCTCAGCCCCGTCAGGGGAAGGTGAGGTTGCCTCTGGGTCCGGTAACCCTTCAGCCTCTCCTGAGCTGCAGAGGCTCAGGGCAGAGAGGTGGAGGGAACTAAGTTCTCGCAGGAGGAGTGCTCGCCTCCAGGCCAGGAGAGGCGAGTCACCTGTGGACCGGGGCCGCCCTATGCCTCAGAGGAGATAAAGGCCAGCTGGCCAGTCCCAGGTTGCGGGAGCAACATCGTTGGTTACCTGTTCCTGCCGGCACCTTGTCCTGCTTTCTGCCAGAGTTCCTGACCATGCCCAACTCCCTGCCTTGGACCCCGCTTCAGCCTCGGACCACGCCGCACGGTAACCCCCCGGGACCAGCAAACCCACATTTTAATCTGAGGAATTCAAGGTGTCACTGGCTTGGGGAAAGTGAAGGTCGCAGAAATACTCTGTACATGTTCAGAGGGGCTACTGCCACCTCTTCATTCCCTTGCACGTTACCGAGCAGGAGTCTAAGTGCTGGGGACCAACCCTCCTTCCCTTTCCTCCTGCCCTCCTCTCACCCACCACGGCCGCTGGCTCCAATCTGCACCGTGGCCCTTTTAAACCCGCGCCCTTCTGTATCACTCTATCTCTCTGCCTCTGGTTCACAGCGGAGCCCTGGTGAATGACATCATCAGGCTGCATTGCCCAGTCTGGAGCGGGCAACTATATTGTGAGGGGCTGAGAGGCAGGATCCATGTGGACCGGACCACAAGCACTTACCTTGCTGCTCCAAAATCCCACAAACCCCCTTGATGTAATAAGAAAACTATGGGAGGATGACATAGGCTATTGGATTAACCCCACCCTATGGACTGGAATGTGGTCTAAACCTCCCTTTATACCCATATCAGCGAAAAGGAAAGAACTCACCCTGAAACTCACTTACAGCTGTTACCTAACACCAAGGAAACTGTGCTGGTCCCGAGGGTTAACTGTGCAGCAAGGTCCAAGTCCAGTCTGAGGTCAAGGGTGCGGTATGGAGGCTGTCCGTCAAAGCTGAAGCAGGGTCCAAGACAGGGAGTCGGGTGGGGTCAGGAACTCTGGCAGAAGAGCAGGACAGGGTGCAGGCAGGAACAGGCTACCAACAGTGTTGCTCCCACAACCTGGGACTGGGGCTGGCTGGCTTTTATCTGCCCCGAGGCATAGGGCGGCCGCAGTCCACAGGTGACTCACCTCTCCTGGCCTGGAGGCGAGCAGTCCTCCTGCGGGAGCTTAGTTCCCTCCGCCTCTCTGCCCTGAGCCTCTGCAACTCAGGAGAGGCTGGAGGGTTGCCAGACCCAGAGGCAACCTCAGCTTCCCCTGACGGAGCTGAGAGTGGAGCACCTGCAGGCAATGCGTCCTCCATCACCTCAGGGGCCAGAGCAGACTCAGCTGGTGCCTGCACCTGAGGATCCAGCACAGGTGAGGACCCTTCAGGCTCAAGCCTCAGCCCCGGCTCAGCTGGTTCTGGAGGCGGTGACTCCTGTGCAGGCTGGGGTTCCTCAGGTTCAGCCTCCGAGTCTGAATCCCAGGCCATCACAGAAACAAGCGCTAATACGCCCAGGAACCTCACCAAATTGCTGGAGAGGATGCACCTCCACAGGCACATACCTCCACATGTGGTGGGAATGTCCCAAAATCCAACTCGTCTGGACAGCAATCATACAAGAAATATGCAAAATAACTAAGCAAGTATTAGAGGTCACCCTTGAACTGGCCCTACTAAACATGTTCCAAGATAATAATGCCCACTCACATCATAAAGAGCTCATAACCCACCTACTCTCAGCAGCTACAAACAACATAGCCGGACACTGGAGAGACCTGTCAGGAGTAATCATGGACAAATGGTATCAAATAGTATGAGAAACAGCCTTATTAGAAAAACTAACTGATAAACTGAAACAGACAGGAGCCAAATAGAACAGGACGCCTTCACCCCGCTATGGCTCCCCTTCATCACATACATAGTCCAACAAGAATCCGCCAACAGCATACGAATCAATCTGGCTAACCTGATTCAAACACACACACACCCCACTCACACACATAAACAAATCTCACTATAGCCAGCCAAAGACAACCAACCACACCCTAGGCCACCCCTCTCAACACCAAGGATACACGACGAGTGAATATTAAGTGAACCCATAGAAGTAACGCTGACACAAAACTCCACACATACACTAAGTAGAAGAACAGAAACATAACCACCCCACCCCACTCACTATTTCCCCTCTCCCCGCCCTTTTATTCCTAGGTAAAGGTAAAGGGTAAAGGGACCCCTGACCATTAGGTCCAGTTGTGGCTGACTCTGGGGTTGTGGCGCTCATCTCGCTTTATTGGCTGAGGGAGCCGGCGTACAGCTTCCGGGTCATGTGGCCAGCATGACTAAGCCGCTTCTGGCGAACCAGAGCAGCGCATGGAAACGCCGTTTACCTTCCCGCCAGAGCGGTACCTATCTGCCTGCACTTTGATGTGCTTTTGAACTGCTAGGTTGGCAGGAGCAGGGACCGAGCAATGGGAGCTCACCCCGTCGCGGGGATTCAAACCACTGATCTTCTGATCAGCAAGTCCTAGGTTCTGTGGTTTAGCCCACAGCGCCACCCGTGTCCCCTTTTATTCCTAACCTAACATTAAAAAGCAAGCATTTACCTTGGAGACCCTGCCTAGCCTCTGCGATCGGCCACCACCACCTCTCTCTCCCTCGCAGCGATTTCAAGTCAGAAGTCGTGATGGCTTTACGTTTTCCAGGACCTCCCCAGCCAAACCGGGACAGTTGAGGGGTGTGCAGCCGCACCCAATCATTTTGGAACGCTGCTTTCGACTCGGCACTCCATCTTCTCTTTGCCTGAGCAAGGAGAAACACATCAGCCTGCCATTAACTTAAGGTGGGGTGGAGGGGTGGGAGGCAATATTTTTAAATTGCCCCCGCCCACTGCACAAGCCAAGGGATAGGCAAAGCACCCTCGAATTCCTTCCTCCCCGGTGCAAATTAGAATGAAAGCTTTGGCCCTCCCCCCCCTCCTTTGGCAGATCCTTGGAAACAGCAGTTCCGCTAGGTACATTGCAGGCATTGGAATCCACTGGTACTACGATCCCACAACCCTCCCGAGCCTGACTTTGGATCCCACACATTCCCTCTTCCCCAATTACTTCCTGCTCTACACGGAATCTTGTAACGGTTATCCGCCGAATATCGTGAGAGTGGACCTCGGGAGCTGGGACCGGGGCGTCAAGTATAGCCAGAACATCTTAGAGGTAAGGTACTGCTACCCATGGGCCCACTGTGGCAGCAACTTGAGAAGAGGGAGCTTTCCGAAAATATTCATCTGAGGGGTGGGGGTGAGCGAACGCGCTGGGGTGCCCACGCAGGTTAAGGCTGGATCTACACTCATGTTCTTTAACGTTAAAGGTAAAGGGGCCTCTGACCATTAGGTCCAGTCATGGCCGACTCTGGGGTTGCGGCGCTCATCTCGCTTTATTGGCCGAGGGAGCCAGCGTACAGCTTCTGGGTCATGTGGCCAGCATGACTAAGCCGCTTCTGGCGAACCAGAGCAGCGCATGGAAACGCCGTTTACCTTCCCACTGGAGCAGTACCTACTTATCTACTTGCGCTGGTGTGATTTCGAACTACTAGGTTGGCAGGAGCTGGGACCGAGCAACGGGAGCTCACCCCGTCGCGGGGATTCGAATCGCTGACCTTCTGATCGGCAAGCCCTAGGCTCTGTGGTTTAACCCACAGCGCCACCCACGTCCCTTCTTTAACGTTAAGGGAGGGTTAATGAATGGTTTTGGCAACATAGATGGACATACGGCATCCTACATCTTTACCTTGACGGGAAAAAGCCAAGGTAAAAAACATTTTAATGAACGCGTGTGCTCTGTGATGTTTTAGGACGACATACAGTGGAACCTCGGTTTTCGAACGTAATCTGTTCTGGAAGACTGTTCAACTTCCGAAACGCTCGAAAACCAAGGAGCGATGGGCAGTTGGCAAAAGCCATTGAGGAAAGAAAGTTATTAAAACTAATTTAAAAGTAGGGTAAGGATTTGCTGAAAATTGAATTTGAAATTAGAATACAGAAAGGGAAGGTATGAGGAAGTCGTGAAAGTAAGCTAAAAGAAAGTAAAAATTGAGGTTATACGTGTTTTATTTTTTGTACTTGTATGTCATGTTTTTTTTCTTTTTTCTTGTTTTGTTATGGTGTTTGTTAAAACTTCAATAAAAATTTATTTAAAAAAAAAGAAAAAGAAAGAAAAACACGCAGCGGAAATTCAAAAACGGAAGCAATCCCTTCCGGGTTTGGGCCATTCAGCTTCCGAAATACTTGAAAACCGAGGTTCCGCTGTATCTAATATAATTATAATAGCGGGAAATAACGCTAAACAGGTCAGTGTAGATCCAGCCCTGGATGGAAGTGGTTTGGGGGGGGGGGAATTAGTCAGAAGTCTTTTCCCAGAGATGGGGTCCCTGGGACCTCTTGCAGGCTCTGCCGTGGAGCCCCCTGCCCCTTCCCCTTGGTGGGCCACCCCCTCCTCCCTCCCACCTCGCTGGCTGACCTATGCCCTTTGAGCCCTTGCAGAACATCCGCAACCATATTGTGGGTTGGATCGACTGGAACGTGGCCCTGGATATGCGCGGGGGACCCAACTTCGTTGACAACTTTGTGGACAGCCCAATCATCGTGAACGCTGCAAAAGACGAGTTCTATAAGCAACCCATGTTCTACCACTTAGCTCATTTCAGGTAAGGCTTCAGAGGGTGACTTTGGCTGTAACTGCCCACCAAGGATGCCCCTGGTAAAGAAGCTCTGTGGCACCGGCATAATGCACCTTTTCACGTAGCTATCTTGGTTCTGGTAATCATGACTGTTAAGTTGTGGGCGAACATAGCAGACGACACAGCGATTTCTCCAGAGCAGCTCTTTATTTGTAAGCTGGACAGAACTGAACAGCAAACAGCTCAGCCGGCCTGCTTTTATAGGCAGCCTGCTGTCAACATTGTAGCAACAACAACCCAGGGTTTCCCCACCTAAAATAACTGACGTGGACCTGAGTGAAAACTACATACACAATACTCCTGGTGGCCAGGGTGAGAACTTCAATACATAACAATGACAATTAAAGCTTAATTAAAAATGCTAATTGTCATAATTATCTTGGGCTGTTAATGTTGTGCGCGGCTCCGCTGTAGGCTCGAGTAACTATATATATGTAAACAAACCATATATCAGCCTCCCTCATTCCCAAAAAGAAACACAAACCTGGGTGAGCTCCCCTTGGAGAATGGGGTAGCATGGAACAATACACACATTCATACAGACAGAAAGGTCAGTTTGCATTCTGTAGTGCAGAAAGTATTGATCTGATGTGTAGAGACCTTTCCTATTCTGCTTAATTCAAGAGGGTTCTGGAAGCTTCTCCGTGTGAAAGAAACAAGCAGACAGTTCCTGATGTTTGGGTTATTCCTTCCGAGAAGCTGAGTACAGCTGGCTTAAACTGGTTCTCTTATCTCTTTCTGTCAAGCTCATGCTGACTATAAAAATACACCGCAAGGAGCCTGGGTTTGACTTTCCATCTCTTTCCCTTCCGGTGTGGTGTTCTGTACATAGTATGCTATAGTGTCAAGGTTCAGACTTATTGTAAGTTAAAGTCTGCTGCAACTGGATTTCTTACGAACAGTGCCAATCCTGAATGTATTGGATTTGTGACCATTATGCTCATTTGCAAAGGGACGCGGGCGGCGCTGTGGGTTAAACCACAGAGCCTAGGACTCGCCGATCAGAAGGTCGGCGGTTCGAATCCTCACGACGGGGTGAGCTCCCGTTGCTCGGTCCCTGCTCCTGCCAACCTAGCAGTTCGAAAGCACGTCAAAGTGCAAGTAGATAAATAGGTACCACTCCGGCGGGAAGGTAAACGGCGTTTCCGTGCGCTGCTCTGGTTCTCCAGAAGAGGCTTAGTCATGCTGGCCACATGACCCGGAAGCTGTACGCCGGCTCCCTCGGCCAATAAAGCGAGATGAGCGCCACAACCCCAGAGTCAATCACGACTGGACCTAACGGTCAGGGGTCCCTTTACCTTTATGCTCATTTGCCTTTAGTAGAAGTAAAGCTCTGCTGGATGAAATATTAATTGCCTCTGGCCTATTTTGGGGGAATCCTGCAACGTGTTTCAGTTGTTACTCTGCTAACTATACATGTGAGTTCTGGTCTGGATCAATACTGAGTAGTATTTCAAAGACAAGATATACTGGGGGTTGCCTCTCCTGGTCGCTACTGCCTACCCCTTGGCCCTTCTCCTACCCCTGACCAACCCCCTCCCTTCACCCCTCACCCACCCCTTTGACTCCCCCTACCCCTCGCACCCCAAATGTACTTTTTAATGCATATGCGAAGATATACAGATGGCACGGATTTGCCGTATAGAGCACAGCGTCGATCCTCTTTCCCCGCCACCCTCCTCCTAATTTCTCTTTTCTCTCCCCAGCAAGTTCATCCCGGAAGGCTCCGTCCGAGTCTACCTGGCTTGCAACAGCCTCCTGGGCAATTGCCAACTACAGACCGAGGGCTTCCTACGCCCAGATGGTGTGGCAGTGGTGGTTGTGCTTAACAAGTGAGTGCGCAGCCTTGGGGAAGGAAGAGCAGGTTGCCCTGGCCGTCAGCATGTCTTTGGGGGCCCGGGAGAACTTCGGGGGGCTGGAGCACGCAGCACGTTCCAGCAAAACTGCTCAGTCGGTAGAGCATGAGACTCTATTTATAATCTCAAGGTCTTGGGTTCGAGACTGTGGGAATGTTGAGGAACGTAGGCGAGGATATATTGATTAAATATTATCCCTCCTCACTCACGGTAGTGAGCAAGAAGCAGAACACATTCCCTTGCACATTGTTAGAAGCAAGTGGATTTGTTAGAATAATAATAATAATAATAATAATACATTTTATTTATATCCCGCCCTCCCCAGCCGAAGCTGGGCTCAGAGCGGCTAACAACAGTAAAATAATACAGCATTCTAAAATCAATTTATTATAAAATCAGTTTAAATTAAAGTTTAAATTAAAGTTTAATGGCAACCATTGGGCTAGAGTTCTGTGAGGATCACCAAAGGCTGTGCCTTGGCCAAAGTCCTGGTGGAACAGCTCTGTCTTGCAGGCCCTGCGGAAAGATGTCAAATCACGCAGGGCCCTAGTCTCTTGTGACAGAGCGTTCCACCAGATTGGAGCCACAGCTGAAACAGCCCTGGCTCTGGTTGAGCCCATCCTAACCTCCCTGTGGCCTGGGACCTCCAGGATGTTTTTGTTTGAAGACTGTAATGTCCTTCATGGGACATACCAGGAGAGGCAGTCCCGTAGGTACAAGGGTCCTAGGCTGTATAGGGCTTTAAAGGTTAAAACCAGCACCTTAAACCTGATCCTGTACTCCACCGGGAGCTACAGTGGTGCCCCGCAAGACGAATATCTCGCAAGACGAAAAACTCGCTTAGACGAAAGGGTTTTCCGTTTTTTTGAGTCGTTCCGCAAGACGAATTTCCCTATGGGTCTTGCGAGTTCTTGCGAGTTTGTTTCCTTTTTCTTTAAAGCCGCTAAGTCCGTTAATAGCCACTAAGCCACTAAGCCGTTAATAGCCGCTAAGCCGCTAATAGCCGTGCTTCGCAAGACGAAAAAACCGCAAGACGAAGAGACTCGTGGAACGGATTAATTTCGTCTTGCGAGGCACCACTGTAGTGCAGCTGGTATAGCACTGGGTGAATGTGATCTCGCAGTGAGGACCCCGTAAGGAGTCTCGCTGCGGCATTCTGCACCCGCTGGAGTTTCTGGGTCAGTCTCAAGGGCAGCCCCACATAGAGCGAGTTACAGTAATCCAGTCTGGAGGTGACGTCACGTGGATCACAGTGGGCTAGGTCAGGGCGAGAGAGGTTAAGGAGGTAAATTGAGCAATGCAGTCTGGCTTGTCCAGATTGGATTGTTCCTGGTAAATTCCCCCTTTTTCCCCTCTTAAAAATAACAGCAACACAACAGTCTTCTTTAAAAGTAATGGTAAAGTTTACTTACATTCAGTTCACAGTAGTCTCCTGAAGGCAGGCTTTAATCTTGTGGTTCCAGTTACGTTTCTACCTTGTGGCTTCCATCCTCTGTAAGGATGAGCCTTGTGCTGCTAGCTAAGAGCCAGCAGAGAGGAAGATGGCAAAAGACAAAATGGAAAAAGGCAAAAAGAGGAAGACGGCTGTGTGACTAGCCCTTTTATAGGGTCTCCCAGGGTCACACCCATCTACACAGTTGGAGGAGGCTCCAGAACAGGTATGGCAGGAAGTCCTCCCTGTCTGGAGCAACATTCCCCTGTGCGTCCACTCTAGGAAACAGGAAATGTTGTATTTGACTGCTACAGTGATGATACACAGAGCCCCACGTTGGGCTAAGGATTCCTGCATTCTAGGGGGTTGGGATGGATGACCTTCGTGGTCCCTTCCCGCTCTACAATTCTACGACGGTAATCTATGACCCAGGAGACCTGGGGAACCCATGCTACAGCTTGAGGCTAGCTGCTGGCTGGGCTGCGGCTTTCAGCTGCATCCACAGTCTTCTGAAGAGTGATAAACAAATATTGGGTGCTCTGACCCAGATGGAGACTCAAGCTTCATCCTGGCTCCTTAGAACAGGCCAGACAAACTTGAAGGCTTCGGTTCCGCCCTGGAGATCTGGCAACCCTACCTCTTGCTGAAAGCAAGGCAGTTTGCATCTCCCCATCAGCTGCCTCCCTTTTGACTGCTGACTTGTTGGGACTCAGATATACCGTATTTTTCGCTCCATAAGACGCACCTGACCATAAGATGCACCTAGTTTTTAGAGGAGGAAAGAAGGAAAGCCCCGCTTTGGGGGGGGGGATCTGCTCACAGTTGTGCAGCTTCTTTTGCAAAGGGGAAAACCCCTGCTTTTTTGAGGATCAGCTTTGCAGCTTCTTTTGCAAAGGGGAAAAGCCTTGTTTTTTTGAGGATCAGCTCGAAGTTGTTGAGCTTACTTTGCAAAGGGGGAAAATCCTGTTTTTATGGGGTTCAACTCACAGTTCTGCAGCTTCTTTAGGAAAGGAAAGGGAGCCGTTTCTACAGTTTCCAGACAGATAATCTAATTGGCCAGTCACATGTCGCTGGGGAAACAAACAGCCTCCGTCTGCAGAACATTCAACAATGGAGGCCTGGGCAAGGGGCCGGGGGTGGAAAGGGAGCCAGCGATCGACCACACATTCGCTCCATAAGACGTACAGACATTTCCCCTTACTTTTTAGGAGCGAAAAAGTGTGTCTTATGGAGCGAAAAATACGGTACTTTTTTTTCCTGCCCCCCACCTTGCCACCTGCGCTCATCACCTGGCGCATATACCATGGGTTCACCTAGCTCAGAACTGTATGTGGGGACTGGCAGTGGCTTTCTAGGGCATTCAAAGAGGGAGTCTTTCCCAGCCCTGCCTGGAGATGCCAGGGATTATACTAGGGCACCCCTTGCATGCCCAATCTGCCCACCTCCCAGTAGTGCAGAAATTCACCAGGAAGCCTGGGGCAACCCAGCCAGATGGGTGGGTTATAAATAATGAAATTATTAAAAAATATATAAAATATTTCTAGGGGTGCCCCTACCTTTTCCTGGCAACCCTGGTGGGGATAGGGGTGGTTCTGTGCCCTGCGCCATCCCAACTGCTGACCTAGACCTTTCCTCTGTCCCTCAGGTGTATCTGGAATGTGCCTTTCAGCATCTCAGATGGTCAGCTTGGCTACATTGAGGATGTGGCTCCGGCCAACTCCATCCAGACTTACCTGTGGAAGACGTCCACTACCTGCCTCGGAGGAAAGGGGCAAGGGACATGCTTTCTCCCTACAAAGTGACCCGGATGCATGGAAGCAGCCTCAATCTTCCCCCTGCCTCACCCTGCAAACCTCAAGATCGTGGATAGAGCCTGATTGTTGTCAGGCTTTCGGGGAATCAGATCCCTTCCCCGGTGCCAGTAAATAAGCAGATCAAACTAAAGGAGCATTCTTACCAGTTAGTTCTTTAATAATCACAGCGAGAGACAAAGGAATGCATATCTCTCTAGAAATGGCGGTGCTCCCAGTAAAGGTTTTCCCCTGCTCTGTCCCCATTAATCTGCGCCACTCCTACGTCGGGTAACCTGAGCTTGTTGCCGCTGCGCTCTCTGTTCTATCACTCTTGGAGCCCGTCTAGTCCTAGGCGAAGGGGGGGTCAGGAATGCTGTCCAAGGACACTGAATCTGCCAGATGTCTCCCTCCTGGTGTTTCCTCTTCTAGCTGTTCCTCACCCAGTATTTCCCAGCTTCCCCCCGCTGGACTATGCCCTTCTGCAAACCACTGTTCTAACTCAATACTGTCCTCCTGCCCTTGGGAAGCTTCAGGAGAAGGGGGCAGCGACTCCCACCATTCCTCCTCAGTCCAGCAGCCCCTGGCAATTGTTGGGACAATGTGGAAAGGAGGTGAGACTCTGCCCAGACCTGGAATAGGGAGGCTAGGAGATGCCTGCTTACAGATTCCTGCGTCCCTTCCGCCACCCCACCAAAAGGCATACATAAATTCTCTCCCTTTTCCCCAGGGCTATAATCAGACACTCATTTTTCAAGCATTAAATGTGATTTGAACCCTCCCTAACGCAGATATGTTTTTCTGCATTCGTGTGGCTGACGGGGTCCAAGCAGAGAGAACGAGGACAGGACTTGTGTGCTCCTTCTTGGGTTTTGTGCTGGGGGTGGGAGGAGGAATTGGTTTAGTTTATAGCTGGGTTAAAAGCTTGGAGGCTTTATTCTTGAAGTAGAGAGTGGCAGTTTGCATTTCCTAGTGCAGAAAGTATTGATCTGATGTGCAGAGATCTTTCTCATTCTAGTTAATTCAAGAGGGTTCTGGAAGCTTCTCTGTGTGAAATAAAGAAGCAGAAGGTTCCTAATATTTGGGTTATTCCTTCAGAGAAGCTGAGTACAGCTGGCTTAAATGGTTCTCTTTTTTTCTGTCAAGAGCATGCTGACTATAAAAATAGGCCAGAAGGAGCCTGGGTTTCACTTTCTCGTTCTATCTCTTTTCCTTCTGGTGTGGCATTCTGTATATAGTGTTAAGGTTCAGTCTTATTATAAGTTATTGTAATTTTAAGCTAAGTCTGCTGCAACTGGATTTCTTACAGACAGTGCCAATCCTGAATGTAGTGGATTTGTGACTTTTATGTTCATTTGCCTTCAGTAGCAGTAAAGCTCTGCTGGATGAAATACAATTGCCTCTGGTCTATTTTTGGGGAATCCTGCAACGTGTTTAAGTTTTTACTCTGCTAACTATACACTGGAATCTGCTCTGGATCAATACTGAGTAGAACTCCATGACATCCCTCCTGTATTCAGAATTTTTGTACTTGTGCTATTTTACATATAATGAGGTTTCCATACTCTATCTTAAAGGAAGGCATTAATCCCCTTGTTTTGCATGGAAGATTGCTTGTTCTTAGGATAAAGGACAACAAAAGAACATCGGACGCAAGGGAAACTTCCCCTTAGCTGAGCCAAACCACTGGCCCATGCCGCTCAGTACTGGCAACTCTGATTGGCAGCGTCTCCCCATCATTCCAGGCAGGAGACATTCCTATCCCTTCTTGGAGAAACCAGAGATTGAACTAGGAATATGCGAAGCTGGTGCTGTATTCCTGAGCTGCATCCTTTCCCATCAACTTGGGTATTTTGAGTTTTCCAGAGAACTGAAAAGGAGGTTGGGAATAGTCTCCCATTCGAAGTGACTTGTTTACTTATTTCCCACCCTTCTCACCCCTGAGGTTCCCTAAGGGTGCGTTACAGCGATAGAATACACATTAAAAGTTTTACATGTGTTTTGGAAGAGAAGAGGTACGTAGGTGAGATAGACAGGAGGTAGTTTTTGGGTTTGGAAAGAGTGTTTGTTGCATAGTGCTAAAAATGTGTACGTGGTATTTCCCCTACAAGAAGAAGAGAACAGGAGTTTGGATTTGATATCCCGCTTTATCACTACCCTAAGGAGTCTCAAAGCGGCTAACAATCTCCTTTCCCTTCCTCCCTCACAACAAACACTCTGTGAGGTGAGTGAGGCTGAGAGACTTCAGAGAAGTGTGACTGGCCCAAGGTCACCCAGCAGCTGCATGTGGAGGAGCGGAGACGCGAACCCGGTTCACCAGATTACGAGTCCACCGCTCTTAACCACTACACCACGCTGGCTCTTGGTCACCTGGGTGCCGCTAAGACAGATGGAGTCTCTTGAAGCTCCATCACCACAGCTGCCTCCGCCACCTCCCAAGTTACAGGACAGAATTAGCACCCTCCCCGCAACCCTCCACCCCCTCCCCAAAAAATTATTCACAGGAAATCTGCCAGCTATTTGGCAATTGCTGCAGAAGGCACTATTACGCTTCAAACAGCTCTTCCCTTGCTCAGGCCAACCAAACGAAAGGGGGGGGGGGAATTGACAAAAACAGTCATATGTCCAGAGACCCAGCCAAGATTATTTGTGCAACGTTTTAAGATGAAAATCTCGTCAAATGATTTCACGAAATGCAGCCACAGAAAAAAAAGGAAGATGTACTCCATTAGGCAACAAAGTGCGGAAACGGATTCTAGGTTCGCAGGGGTTTGGTTGGAGAATGGACATACAAGAGCCTCTTTCCATAGGACTGACGTTTCAGCTCCAAGTAGGTGGTTTTTTAAAATATACATTCCAGCCCTTTGGTTGGAAACTACGGAATTTGATTCAAATGGTTGCCCCTTCTTCCTTTTCCCTCTTGAGCATTGCCCCTTGGAGACTAATTTCATCCGAAATACATTTCCTCCCCCCTTAAGGTCCTTCTTTGAGCAGAGCCACACAAGATGGATGGAGTGAGATCTGCTAAACCTGATAACAATCCCAGGCTAAAGGGGAGTGTAGAGATGATGTAGGATTTTGGATCCCAGCAGCCCCAACCACCACGGCCGGCGATGGGAGCTGGGAGCCCAGCAACAAAAAGGCCACAGGTTCTGTACCCTTTGTTTAGGACATAAAAGGCCTGTGGCGCCACGAGGCCCAAACCCCACCCGATGTCACAAACCTCCCACTCTTTGCATCTCAGGCTTCGGGAAACCCTGGAGATGTCGTTCCACTTCTTGGAAAACACTGACAGGGAAAGAGCTCACCATATATGGGAAGCGGCCAACACAGCCCTCCTCCTGCCCCACTGCACTCCCACCCTAGCCCGAGAGCCCATGAAAGAAAGCCAGGAAGCAGGTGGGTTTCTAGAAAAAGGAGAAAAAAACTGGTTTATTGTACGAAAACATCTGAGATAGGAGGAAGCGATCAGCCCTGTGAGGTGGGCATGGTAAAGCCCTCTATGGAATGAATGGCAACTCAAATAGCAAGGAGAGGCGTATTATTAAACTCGGCGTTTTATAGCCAGTGCAGGGTTTTGAGACGTTGCTGAACTACAACTCCCATCATCCCTTGGGCATGCTTGCTGGGGCTGCTGGGAGCTGGGAAACAGAAACATGGTTCAAATCCATCTTCCACCAGCCGCACTCATGGATAGGAGCTGTCGATCGGCAACGTCGTTCGGCTCAAAGATCTTATGGCATTTTTATGCAGCCGATGCTGGTCCTCCTCAGAGTAGACCCGCTGGAAGTAATGGGCATGGCTAGCTTGGGTCCAGTAATGTTAACACACGGGTAGGCAAACTAAGGCCTGGGGGCCGGATCCAGCCCAATCGCCTTCTAAATCCGGCCCATGGACAGTCCAGGAATCAGCGTGTTTTTACATGAGCAGAATGTGTCCTTTTATTTAAAATGCATCTCTGGGTTATTTGTGGGGCACAGGAATTCATTCATTCCCCCCCACCCCCAAAATATAGTCCGGCCCTCCATAAGGTCTGAGAGACAGTGGACCGGCCCCCTGCTGAAAAAGTTTGCTGACCCCTGCTCTCTGGATGAAACTGAGAGCGTTAAAGCTATCCAACATCAGTTGCAGAAAAAACACCCCATTCAGTTCCTGGTTCATACAGGCCTTCCTGCAGAGCAGGCAGACCCATCCCCAGGACTCCTCCAGCAATCGCATCCTGATCTCCCCTTCTCCCTGCTAACGCCAACCCATCTCACGGGCGTAGAACATTTATTGCTGAGCGGGGGGTTCTGCCGACGCCTCCTTGGGCCGCTCCCAGATGTAGGTCTGGATGGAGTCGGCAGTCGACACGGCCTCGATGTGGCCCACGCCAGGGTCGGAGATGACAAACGGGACGTCCTTGTGGGACCTGAGGAAGAGGGCGAGACAGGAAACAATTTAGAAAGACAGGCAGGCAATGTGCCGAGGGGAAATCTGGGCCAGGAACAGGGCCGGATTTAGGTTTGATGAGGCCCTAAGCTACTGAAGGTAATGCGGCCCTTTCTATGTCCAGTTGTCCTTTGTCAACAACAAATTGTCACTGTTTTTTCGTGTTGAATATATGCTATATGGTAAATTATGGACCTAATAGGTATCTAAGGGATGCAGGTGGCGCTGTGGGTTAAACCACAGAGCCTAGGACTTGCTGATCAGAAGGTCAGCGGTTCGAATCCCCGCGACGGGGTGAGCTCCCGTTGCTCGGTCCCTGCTCCTGCCAACCTAGCAGTTCGAAAGCACGTCAAAGTGCAAGTAGATAAATAGGTACCACTCCGGCGGGAAGGTAAACGGCATTTCCATGCGCTGCTCCGGTTCTCCAGAAGCGGCTTAGTCATGCTGGCCACATGACCTGGAAGCTGTACGCTGGCTCCCTCGGCCAGTAAAGCGAGATGAGCACCGCAACCCCAGAGTCGGTCACGACTGGCCCTAATCATCAGGGTCCCTTTACCCTTTACCTTTTAACAGGTATCTAAAGCCATTTGCACATAACAAAATTTGTATTTTAGCAAAGCAATTGTTGAACTGAAATACAATTAAGAAGTATATTAATAGTGAAATACAATTAAGAAGTATATTAATAGTGAAATACAATTAAGAAGTATATTGATAGTGAAATGATTATTAAGCTCTAACTGTATGTAGGTTTTATTCTATTTGTTTTTTATCTTATGTTTTGGAAATGTACTTCCAGTTTATTCCCCTTTACATTTTTGGACACACACCCTCCCGAGAGTGTAAACGAGCTATAGCTTGTTTAACTTATACAGTGTTACCTCGCAAGATGAATGCCTCGCAAGACGGAAAACTCGCAAGACGAAAGGGTTTTTGGTTTTTTGAGTTGCTTCGCAAGACGATTTTCCCTATGGGCTTGCTTCGCAAGACGGAAACGTCTTGCAAGTTTGTTTCCTTTTTCTTAACACCGTTAATACAGTTGCGACTTGACTCCGAGGAGCAACTCATAGCACGCGGTGTGGTAGCCTTTTTTGAGGTTTTTGAAGACTTTGGTGATTTTTGAAGCTTTTCCAAAACTTTTCCGAAACCGTGCTTCGCAAGACAAAAAAAATCGCAAGGCGAAAAAACTCGCGGAACGAATTAATTTTGTCTTGCGAGGCACCACTGTACGTAAATCTGGCCCTGGCCAGGAATAGTTCTGGAGGGCACCCTGGGAGAAATCCCGGGAAATCTTCCTCGGCCCACGAGAAAAGGGCAACCGAAAGGAGCTCAAAGGCAGGGCAGCGGAGAGGAAGACATTGGAGAAAATGTTCCTGCACTGCAGGGGGCTGGACTAGATGACTCTTGGGGTCCCATTCCAGCGCTACAATTCTGTGATTCCTGCAAGGTGTCTTTAACGCTACAGAATTACATGAGGCTGAAGGAACGGCAGGGGCAACTGGAACGATCAAGGGCACAGAACAACTTGCCCAAGAGGAAAGGTTACAGAATTTGGGGCTTTATAGTTTAGGGGACGCGGGTGGCGCTGTGGGTAAAAGCCTCAGCGCCTAGGGCTTGCCGATCAAAAGGTCGGCGGTTCGAATCCCCGCAGCAGGGTGCGCTCCCGTTGCTCGATCCCAGCGCCTGCCAACCTAGCAGTTCGAAAGCACCCCTGGGTGCAAGTAGATAAATAGGGACCGCTTACCGGCGGGAAGGTAAATGGCGTTTCCGTGTGCTGCACTGGCTCGCCAGATGCAGCTTTGTCACGCTGGCCACGTGACCCGGAAGTGTCTCCGGACAGGGCTGGCCCCCGGCCTCTTGAGTGAGATGGGCGCACAACCCAGAGTCTGTCAAGACTGGCCCGTACGGGCAGGGGTACCTTTACCTTTACCTTAGTTTAGGGGAAAGGCGAGCAAGACATAAATTTGTATTTTTGTGTGACGTGGAGAGAGTACCGTATTTTCCGTTCCATAAGACACACTTTTCTCCTCCTAAAATGTAAGGGGAAATGTTTGTGCGTCTTGTGAAGCGAATGCTGCATGGAAGAGGGACGTGTAAGCAGCTCCTGTCCACTTTGCTGCTTTAAATAGTTTAGTACGACATTTGATTAAGAATATTTTTCCCGTGTTTTCCTCCTCTAAAATCTAGGTGCGTCTTATGGTCAGGTGCGTTTTATGCAGCGAAAAATACGGTAGATAGTGAAAAGGTTTTCTTCATTTCTTAGAATCTGAGTCATGGAACTGAAACGCAGTTTCCCCAACGTGGGGCTTGAACACACAACCCCGATAATAATCTTGTAGCGCTAGGACTGGAGGGGGCTGAATGTGGGGAGATCCAGGCCCGGTAAAAGAAAGGACCTTCTTTATGCTGTGCTTGGTTAAACTACGGAACTCCCGTCCACAGGAGGCAGCAAGGGCCACGAACCTAGATCGCTTTAAAAGAGGACTTTATAGAATCATAGAGTTGGAATAGACCACAAGGGCCATTGAGTCCAACCCCCTGCCAAGCAGGAAACACCATCAGAGCACTCCTGACATATGGTTGTCAAGCCTCTGCTTAAAGACCTCCAAAGAAGGAGACTCCACCACACTCCTTGGCAGCAAATTCCACTGTCGAACAGCTCTTACTGTCAGGAAGTTCTTCCTAATGTTTAGGTGGAATCTTCTTTCTTGTAGTTTGGATCCATTGCTCTGTGTCCGCTTCTCTGGAGCAGCAGAAAACAACCTTTCTCCCTCCTCTATGTGACATCCTTTTATATATTTGAACATGGCTATCATATCACCCCTTAACCTCCTCTTCTCCAGGCTAAACATGCCCAGCTCCCTTGGCCGTTCCTCATAAGGCATCGTTTCCAGGCCTTTGACCATTTTGGTTGCCCTCCTCTGGACACGTTCCAGTTTGTCAGTGTCCTTCTTGAATTGTGGTGCCCAGAACTGGACACAGTACTCCAGGTGAGGTCTGACCAGAGCAGAATACAGTGGCACTATTACTTCCCTTGATCTATATTGACCAATTCATGAGGCGATCAATGACCAGTAGGCATGATGGCCACAGCTGAAGGCATCAATGTATCTGAATACCAGTTTCTGGAAACCACAGGAGGGGAGAGTTGCTCCTGTCTGTGAATCCTGGTTGCTGGTTTCCTACGGAGGATCTGATGGCCCCACTGAGAAGATGATCTTTCAGGTTTCCGTCTTATTTTCTACTGATAGCCGTTCAGCGGCAGCATGGAGGCCACCTGGCTCCCACTCACCTGTTCAAGACAACAACGGCCGCTGAGCCATCTGGACGCAGGAAGGCTGAATATTCCAGGTCGGTCCACTTGCTCCTCTGAATCTCAATCCTCTGGGTTCCCTCCGGGAGGAACTTGCTGCAGTAGCATATCAAAGGAGCAGGGGGAAAGGGGAATATGGTTACAGTGGTACCTCGCAAGACGAACGCCTCGCAAGACGGAAAACCCGCTAGACGAAAGGGTTTTCCGTTTTGGAGGCGCTTCGCAAAACGAATTTCCCTATGGGGTTGCTTCGCAAGACGACAGCCCATAGGGAAATCTCCGGGACAGCGGGGAAGCGCAGCGCGTCTTCCCCGCTGTCCTCGGACCTCCTCCGAAGGCTGGCGGCGGGGCGGGGACAGCTCCTCCCGCCGCCGCGGGCTTCGGAACGATGCCCCGATGCCGGGGGCGGGCGGGAACGCCTCCCCCCGCCCCCCGCCATCGGGACCATGCCCCGATGCCGGGCGGCGGGGACGGGGCGGGGCATGGTCACCGCCGCCAGCGTTTAAAAGCACTCTGGGGAAAGCAGCGAAGCGCGCTGCTTTCCCCGAGCATCGGGAAGTCCGGCGGGGGTCCTTGGGATTCCCTCCCAGCCCCCGCCTTTAAAAGCACTCCGGGGAAAGCAGCAAAGCGCAGCGCGCTTTGTTGCTTTCCCCGGAGTGCTTTTAAACGCGGGCGGCTGGGAGGGAATCCCTTGGACCCTCGCCGGACTTCAAAAGAGCTGCGGGAAGTCCGGGGGGGGGGTCCAAGGGATTCCCTCACCGCCGCCCACCTTTAGAAGCGCTCGGGGAAAGCAGCGCGCTTCGCTGCTTTCCCCAGAGTCCTTTTAAACGCAGGCGGCAGTGAGGGAATCCCTTGGACCCCCTCCGGACTTCCCGCAGCTCTTTTGAAGTCCGGTGGGGGGAGAAGGGCTTTTCTTCCTACCGCCAGCCTTCAGAACAGCCTTCTGAAGGCTGGCGGTGGGAAGAAAAGCCCTTGTCCCCCCCCCCCCAGCCTTCAGAAGAGGTTGGGGGACAGACTGTCCCCGGACCTGGTCTGAAGGCGGTTTCCCTAGGAACGCATTAATTGATTTTCAATGCATTCCTATGGGAAACCGTGCTTCGCAAGACGAAAAACTCGCAAGAAGAAAAAACTCGTGGAACGAATTAATTTCGTCTTGCGAGGCACCACTGTAGATCTAAGTAGCCCAAGACCAGCCCTGCTGCTGCAGTGAGGGTCTAGTACAGTGGTACCTCGGGTTACAGACGCTTCAGGTTACAGACTCTGCTAACCCAGAAATAGTACCTCGGCTTAAGAACTTTGCTTCAGGATGAGAAGAGAAATTGTGGGGCAGCAGGAGGCCCCATTAGCTAAAGTGGTACCTCAGGTTAAGAACAGTTTCAGGTTAAGAACAGACCTCCGGAACAAATTAAGTACTTAACCTGAAGTACCACTGTAGTCCCATCTCAACACAACCAAGGGGGTTATCCTGAGGGGGTTTGGAGGGGGGTGGGCTGGGCCTGAGAGTGTTTATCTGCTTGCTTGTTTATTAAATTTGTATCTCGTACAGTGGTACCTCTGGTTGCGAACGGGATCCGTTCCGGAGGCCCATTCACAACATGAAAAGAACGCAACCCGCAGCAGCACATCTGCGCACGCGCGGGTTGCAAGTCGCCGCTTCTGGGCATGCGTGTGACATCATTTTGCGCGTCTGCGCATGCGTGAGCGGCGAAACCCAGAAGTAACCCTTTCCAGTACTTCCGGGTCGCCATGGGACGTATCCTGAAAGAACATAACATGAAGCGGACGTAACATGAGGTATGACTGTACCTTCCTCTCAGAGGAGCCCAGGGCAGCGAATATCAAATATTTAAAAACATTACGGTTTAAAATAATAATGATTGGGGGGAGGGGAACCTTCCAAAAACATACTTACAACATCTAAAATGTTTATTTTTATTGATTGATAGATTGAGTGACTGAATTTATATACTGCCCTATACCCGGAGGTCTCAGATTGGTTCACATAAAAGATCACAGTATATAAAATCAAAGTAAAAACAATTACCTGGTAACACCCCCCCCAAAAAAAAGAGCCGCATTTTAAAAGGGTACAGGATGTCGATCAGGTCAGCCAAAGGCCTGGTTAAAATGGAACATTTTTGCCTGGTGCCTAAAGGTGTATAATGAAGGCGTCACGTTAAACTTCCCCGGGGAGAGCATTCCACAAACAGGGAGCCACTGCAGAGAAGGCTACGTTCTCAGGTTGCCACCCTCTGGAGCAACCACATTCCCTCATGGTTTTTAATTTCACCCTTGCCTTGGCCCACATCTATCAGCCATCTGATTCCTGGGTGAATGGAGCATTAAAAAAAAATCTCCCTGCAACCCGACAGCATGAGGGACAGGCGCATGTCACCAGGGAGGGTGTTCTACAAACAAGGAGCCACCACCGAGAAGGCCCTGTCACCCATCAAATCCCAGCAGACCGTAGCCTGAGGCGGCGCCACCCACAGGGCCTCCCCATTTTAGGACTCAATATGGTTGGCCCGGGGGTCACCTGCTTTGGGGACTTGTGGAGGGTCCCGCCGTCTCACCTGAAGTGTGCCATGTGATAAAACATGGGCTGTTTGTAAAACACATCGTTGGCCGCATCTACAATGACAGGACTGTCAACATAATTTTTGCTCCAGTTGGGGCCGCCTTCCATGTCCAGGACAAGGTTCCAGTCCGTCCAGCCTGTGACGTAGTTATTGAGATTCTGCAGGAAGGCGGAGAAGAACACTTGATTCGTTTATTAATCTTAGTTATTTCACATTTCTTATGTACCGCTAGGTTGATCAGATTGTATGCGCCGGCTGCAATAGAAGTACTTTTCAAACTAAGGAAGGAAACCAATACATCATAATCATAAAAAGGTAAAGGTAAAGGTACCCCTGCCCTTACGGGCCAGTCTTGCCAGACTCTGGGGTTGTGCGCCCATCTCACTCAAGAGGCCGAGGGCCAGCGCTGTCTGGAGACACTTCCGGGTCACGTGGCCAGCGTGACATCGCTGCTCTGGCGAGCCAGAGCCGCACACGGAAACGCCGTTTACCTTCCCGCTAGAAAGCGGTCCCTATTTATCTACTTGCACTCGGAGGTGCTTTCGAACTGCTAGGTTGGCAGGCGCTGGGACCGAGCAATGGGAGCTCAACCCCGCCGCGGGGATTCGAACTGCCGACCTTTCGATTGGCAAGCCGTAGGCGCTGAGGCTTTTACCCACAGCGCCACCCGCGTCCCTACATCACAATCATACATGCCTCTTAATAGGCTTAATTTACGCATTAATTCAATTTTTTGCCTTTCCTTTCCTCCCAAAGTTACTTGAGGGCAGCAAATAAGTAAGGATAAAACAATTGGAGATTCAAGAAATCTTTAAAACATCTTCAGAGCAATTCTAATGCAGAAGCAGACTTGGATTTGTATCTCTACTGAAAAGTCTCCTTGAAAGGTCTTTAGGAGGAACCACTAAGACAATAGAGATGGAGCCTAATATTTAACGGGAGGGAATTCCTAAGCAGTTGTAAAAAACCGATATTTTAGTGTTCTAAATGTCAGTTTGCATTTCTTAGAAAGTATTGATCTGATGTGTAGAGAGCTTTCCTATTCTACTTAATTCAAGAGGGTCCTGGAAGCTTCTCCGTGTGAAAGAAACAAGCAGAAGGTCCGGATATTTGGGTTATTCCTTCAGAGAAGCTGAGTACAGCTGGCTTAAACTGGTTCTCTCATCTCTTTCTGTCAAGCTCATGCTGACTATAAAAATAGACCAGAAGGAGCCGGGCTTTGACTTTCTCTTTCTATCCCCTTTCCTTCCGGTGTGGTGTTCTGTTCATAGTATGTTATAGTGTCAAGGTTTAGACTTTTTATAAGTTATTGTAATTTTAAGCTAAGTCTGCTGCAACTAGATTTCTTATGAACAGCGCCAATCCTGAATGTATTGGATCTGTGACCATTATGCTCAATTGCCTTCAGTAGCAGTAAAGCTCTGCTGGATTAAATACAATTGCCTCTGATCTATGTTTTGGGAATCCGCTCTGGATCAATATTGAGTAGAATTCAAGGACACTAAACCTTGGAACTCCCTGCCAATTGACTGCCAATTGGCAGGCACCTTCACCATAGTCTTTCGGGCGCCGGCTGAAAACGTCTTTGTCTAGGCAAACCCGGACACATAGAAGTTTACAGGTGTTTTAGTTCTTTTTAGGTGGTTTTAATGATCTTCTGGATATTTTAAAATGCAGGCAGTGACCGATTTGTGCAGGGGTTGCGTTCCGAGACATCGGCGCACATACATGAAATCACCTACAATCTGAATACCTGTCGAGAAAGCCTGAAAACACCCCATTCCACCCCTTTTTGTGATGTTTTTGGATCACGTCCGAGCGGCACAATGGGCAGTCACTGCGAACATACCAGACGTGCCTAAAACAGTTGCTGCCTGTACTCATTTTTCACTGGGTTTTTTAATCTATTGCTTTCATATTTCATTTTGTATTTTTCGTTAACTGAGGAGAGGTTTCCTTCAAGTTGATATATATATTGGTATATACCATATTTTTCGCTCTATAGGACGCACTTTCCCCCCTCCAAAAATGAAGGGGAAATGTGTGTGCGTCCTTATGGAGCGAATGCAGGCTCCTTGGCTTCAGCGATAGCAACGAGAAGCCTCCGAAGCGCAGAGGGAGAGCTCCCCCCGCGCTCTGGAGGCTTCGCGTTGCTTTCGCTGAAGCCTCCGGAGCACAGCGCGAACTCCCACTGCGCTCCGGGGGGCTTCAGGCAGCTATCCGCAAGCCTTCGGAGCACAGCAGGAGTTCCCGCTGCGCTCCGAAGGCTTGCGGATAGCCTCCTGAAGCCTGGAGAGCGAGACGGGTCGGTGCACACCGATCCCTCTCGCTCTCCGGGCTTTGCTTCGCTGGAGAGGCGCTGCACAGTTTTCCCTCTCTGCGCAGCGCCCCTTCAGCGAGGCGGGAGAAGAAACGGAAGGGGCTTCGTTTCTCCTGCCGCTTCGCTGAAGGGGCGCTGAGCAGAGAGGGGGAGAATTCCCCCCCCCCCGTTCTCTCCCTCCTATGGTCCGGTGCGTCCTATAGAGCGAAAAATACGGTATATATTTTGTTCAAACAAACAAACAAACAAATGTCAGACTCTGAAATTCTACTAAACTTTTCTTTTAAAAAAAAAGTCACTCCTACCGCAAGGATGCTGTGACTGTATTTGCTGCCGCGGTCCCACTCCCCCAGCACCACACGGGGCTCCCAAAAATACGATCCTGTAGAGGCTTCGGTGGAGATGAGGTAATACTTGGGGAAAAGGTGGTGAGTGATAGAGAGAGTCAAGTCGATGGGGGCCAGGAAATCCAAATACCAGTGGATGCCTATCCCATTGATGTAACTGGCCGCCACGGGGTCCTTGAGAACCTAGATAATAAGGGATAATAAAAACAGAATTGTCAAGCTCACAGAGCTCTTAACAGCTTCATATTCTATTTTTGGCCTTTCTACCCCCCACGGCATGTTTCTAGACCTCATGGAGGAGAGTGAAGATGTGAGCTACAAATCCCCAAAGCTAGCTGGTTTCAGTGGGCCTTATCTTAAGGATGTGCACATTTGAGACTCTGTAAGGTAGCGATGAGGGGTGTCCTGGGTTATGAAGAAGGAAATTAGCAATTGCTCCCCACAGATGTGGGTAACCTGTGTACCCCACTCCCCTTGAGGCAATCAGGCCAGAGCAATCAGTCTTTCCTCCAGCTGCTCTGATTGGGAGGAAATAATAATAAGGTAAAGGTAAAGGGACCCCGGACCATTAGGTCCAGTCGTGGCCGACTCTGGGGTTGCGGCGCTCATCTCGCTTTATTGGCTGAGGAAGCTGGCGTACAGCTTCTGGGTCATGTGGCCAGCATGACTAAGCCGCTTCTGGCGAACCAGAACAGCGCACGGAAACGCTGTTTACCTTCCCGCCATCTAGTCATCTAGTCCAACCCCCGCAATGCAGGAATTACAGCTAAATGACAGGTGGACACCCAACCTCTGCTTTAGAAGGTCCTTTTAAGCAGTAGTAAAAGGTAAAGGGACCCCTGACCATTAGGTCCAGTCGCAGACGACTCTAGGGTTTATTGGCCGAGGGAGCCAGCGTACAGCTTCCGGGTCATGTGGCCACATGACTAAGCTGCTTCTGGCGAACCAGAGCAGCACACAGAAACTCCATTTACCTTCCCGCCGGAGCGGTACCTATTTATCTACTTGCACTTTGACGTGCTTTCAAACTGCTAGGTTGGCAGGAGCAGGGGCCAAGCAACGGGAGCTCACCCCGTTGCGGGGATTCGAACCGCCGACCTTCTGATCGGCAAGTCCTAGGCTCTGTGGTTTAACCCACAGAGCCACCCGCTGTTCCAATATTAATAAAATAAACAACAAACAACAACAACAACAACAATAATTTGTTATTTATACCCCGCCCATCTGGCTGGATTTCCAAACTGGATAGATATTTATCCTGGTCCTTCCTGGTTTATTTGTATCATATAACAACAACAACAATTTATTGCTCTGGACTCCTGGGATGCTTTGGGCAAAGCCATGATTGTCCAAACGGCCTCCTGGGGCTTTAAATGCATGGTGCCAGCGTGGCCTCTGCTCCAGCGCCTTTAGCAAAATAAATAGGAAAACAGAGCCCCTGGGGTTTGGATTCCACCAGTCCAGGGCGGCCCACTCACCACTTCGGCCCAGTAAGGGAGCATCATCCTTTGGTCATCCAGAATGATCAGCTCAATGCCCTTGTAAGAGCTGTTGGCCAAGGCAGGACCCAGATCTTGGGCGATGAAGTCCCGTTGGTGCTCAGGGGAGAAGCCCAGGCACTGGAAGGGGTAAAAAATGATGTCGCCAGCCGTTGGCTCGTTCCCGGCCGTCACAGCCCAGAAAGTCAAGTTATACTTGGCGTATTCGTCTAAGAACCTGCAGAGGGAAATGGCAGCAAAGGTTAGCAGGGCCAAGATGTCACTGAGGATATTTCCCCCTCAGATTACTTCCTGAGATTTTTCTTTTAAGAAACTAAACTTTTTTGTCCATCCAGAATCTTCCCGTTTTCAGCTTCATGGAATGTCTGCTGGTTTTATGAGAGGGATGCAATAATTTTGTCTATCCGCTCTCTGTCGGCTGAACATAACTTTTATAGACATCCACCATTTCATCTCATCCCGCCTTTTCTCTAAGAGAAAAGGTCCCAAATGCTGCAACCTTTCTTCCTAGTGAAGTCACTCTTTTTCCTTGATGATTTCTGAACCTTTCTCAGCTCTACGATATTCTTTTTCTCCCCTGAGGAAGAATAAGAAGCCCCCTTGGAGCTGATTTGTCTCCTCGCATCTCCGCCGTTTTCCTCTGTTGTAAACAAAAAATCTGCCCTTTTCCTTTATGGGGTATCCAGGAGCTCATATAGACTCCTTACGTAGGTTCCCTATTGGTAGGAGAAAATAACAGAGGCCAACCAGAGAATATTGAGAAGCAAAGCAGCTAGTAAGCCTGATCTTTATTGATCTGTTGCAACAGGGTCCTCACTCACCATACGCAGGAGGGAGGAGGAACCCAGAACAATGGTGCGCAAGGCCTTATATAGACTTCTGAAATTGCCACCCTGTAGATCAAGACCAGCCTCAGAAACATCATACCTACATCACAGAAAAGGCGGCCTAAAACAGAAATTTGGATGTTGTTTTTCCTGTTTGCCAGGTTATCTGATTGCCTTTCCTGATAGTCTGTCACCTATTAAAATGCTGATTACTCAATTCCTGAGACAATGGGAAGGCTCCCTGACCCCCCTCCCTCCTTGCAGGGAAAACATTTGGTCAGTTTGGGAATCAAAATGGTGTCAGGTCGGTCTTCCTGTGCTGATCTATGTCCGTGCTTGGTTGGTACACTTATGAACATTTAACATATATCTAAGACCTCAAAAGAGACGCGGGTGGCGCTGTGGGTTAAACCACAGAGCCTAGGACTTGCCAATCAGAAGGTCGGCGGTTCAAATCCCCACGACGGGGTGAGCTCCCGTTGCTCGGTCCCTACTCCTGCCAACCTAGCAGTTCGAAAGCACGCCAAAGTGCAAGTAGATAAATAGGTACCACTCTGGCGGGAAGATAAACGGTGTTTCCATGTGCTGCTCTGGTTCGCCACGGCCCCGGAAGCTGTACGCCAGCTCCCTCGGCCAGTAAAGCGAGATGAGCGCCGCAACCCCAGAGTTGGCCACGACTGGACCTAATGGTCAGGGGTCCCTTTACCTTTACCTTTTAAGACCTCAATATTCCTATCACATCTCCCAGGAGCCTTTGCTGCACTAGCTGTGTGCTTTGTTTGTGTGCCTAACAACTTTATTACTCTGCGGCCGTCGCAAACTGGTCAGCCGTCAAATAAAATGGAACCAAACGACGTCGGTGGTCGGTGTCGTTACCTGATGAAATAGTTGGCCCAGGCCTTGTGATATCTGTCTCCCGGCTTCCCCTTGAGGGTCCCTCGGCCTGTCATGGCCCCGTTGGTCTTCATCCACACTGGGGAGGTCCAAGGGCTGGCGTAGAGGGCAAGTGGCTTCTTGGCCACCGCTTGCGCTTGCTGAAGGATTGGGATCTGGGGAGGGGATGTGGAACATCGTTTGTCATCCATAAAGATTTGGCCTGATTTCACCCAACACCTGTGTTGTGTCTCAGTGATTTCACTGCTCTCACACGGTGGCCAGAGAGAACATTTTGTTAGAATTCCTGCTCCGTGATTGCAGTCATGGGATTGTTGTCTATCACATGACGGTATATGTTTTGACTCCACAGAGTGAGAAGTGACAGGATGTTTGTGTTATTGTGTTCATAGCTGTCAACGTTTCCCTTTTTTAAAGGGAAATTCCCTTATTCCGAATAGGATTCCTCGCAAGAAAAGGGAAAAGTTGACAGCTATGACTGTGTTCTGTGAAATGGGACTATTGTCCTTTGTTCTATTTCTCTTTGCTGTCTGATGCTAGAGAGAGAGGGAGCCATGTTGCAGTGCTCCGTGTGTGTTTATATGTAAATAAAGTAGATTAGCCAAAATGCTGAGTTGCTGAGGTCTGTCACACGAACTGCGCGGACTCTGTGGATCCCTAAGTGTGCCAGTGTCTGTTGGCATCGGTCGCTGTGATGTTCGGGCAGAAGAAAGCTTTTGAAGCTCCCGAATGAACGACCAGGAGGGAGAGAACATGCCAGTCGGGCATGTGTCTCTGCCAGGGTCCTACTCGAGTGTAGGACGAGCTCCTGACACATTTCCCAGGTTCCTCTGGTGGCCCCCAGCTCTTGTTGGGCTGTCACCATTCCTAACCATTGGCCATGCTGGCTGATGGGGATGGTGAGAGCTGGAGGCCAAGAACTGCCGCTCCAATCGTCCCTAACTATTGGCCAGTACTGGATGTGGATGATGGGCTTTGGAGTCCAAAAATATTCTGAAGGATAGCAGGTCCGCTCGTCTCCAGATCAGTGGACCAAAATATCTGCGGTTCGGTCCTTAGGATCTGCTGTAAAGGCAACAGAGCTGACCAAGCAGGGGAGATCAGACTGTGTCTCTCCAGCTATCGTCGGACTACAACTCCTATCATCCACAGCCAGTATTGGCCCAATAGTCAGGGGTGAAGGGGGCTGCAGTTCAACGATACTGCTGGAAGAGTCAGCTGCTTGGTAGAGGATGCTGCTATTGTCAGAGCATTAGTCCCTTGGTCCGTCCAGCTATACAATAATAACTAAATAAAATAGCTTGGTAATGTCTACATTGACTGGCAGCAGCTCTCCAGAATTTTAGGGGACATTCTGGAGGTGCTGGGGATTGAACCTGAGACCAGATACTCTACCAGTGAGCTACGGACATTTCTCTTTTATCTTATAATATGGCATTCGGGGTTCAAAGTGGAGCCTGAGAGTCTTGGGCTAAGATTTCTTAGTCAGTCAAGGACTAGCTGGTCCCCCTAAGCCAGGGGTCTGCAACCTTTAAGACAAAAAAAGCCACTTGGACCCGTTTCCGAAGAAAAAAAAACTGGGAGCCGCAAAACTCGTCATTATAAAAATAACTTTTTTGTCACTTTTTTTTATTTCTTTGTTTGACCCCTCAGAATTACTCCTCCTCATAGAAATAAACGTTAAATTAACAAGTTACCTTTTTGTGTGTGTGTGTTCTTCACTCCCCTTCAAAACAGTGACCAGCGTACATGCCCCCTTTCAATGCAGTGACCAGCGTACATGCCCCTTACAATGTAGAGGGCGGGCGGGAAGGTGACGTCGGGACGGTGCGTGACTAACGCACGCACCGCCCCCATGCGACGTCACAGTCAGTACAGCGCCCGCCACAGTGGGGAGTGTCGGGGCGCACAATGCGCCTCCTCCCCTCACTAGTATCCGCCCCAGAGCCGCGGCAAAGGTGTAAAAGAGCCACATGCGGCTCCGGAGCCGCGGGTTGCCGACCCCTGCCCTAAGCACAAAGGAAACAGGTTTACATTGAAAAGCAAACCGAATCCACTTTCTCCCCTGGGAATGGGCCTAAATCTTTATCCTGGGGATCGGCAAACCCCTTCACCTTCATTTTGGTGTCTTCCTCCGTCAGGCTGAAGTTTTTCAGCTCAAAGTCGTCCTCCGAATCGTCGTACGTATAGAGCCTCACGGAGAAATCACAGCTGGCCATGGGGACGCGGACCAAGGTGTATTCGATCCCTTGGAGAAAGTGGAGCCAAAGGCAGACACAGCAGGGTTACTCTCAGGAATAGGACTCACTGAGGAAAATTATTTAGGGGGGGGCGGTCCTTCCACATTTCAAAGTGAGTTCACCTGATCCACAAATTAATGTGTAAATTGGACAAAGTCTGATTTGGAACCCACACACCTAACAAATTCTGTTGGATCTTTGGAGGCGATGAGTGGCTATTATTACTTGTTCAATTTCTTTCCTGCCCTGCACCGTGGGGTCCTAAGGAAGGTCACAATGATGTGAAACCAGTCCTTTTTTTTCTTTAAAAAAATGTTTAGGGGTACTCTCATTTTGACTCAAGAAATCACCATTTTATGCTTCAGATCGGGGGAAATAAATGCAGTAAATCTGCCAAAATACTATCACAATTGTTATATGGATCCCAGATCTGCAGCTTTAAAAACCTTACTCTCTTAGAGGCATTCCAAACTAAGTTTTTCCGCTGCCTTCTGGGGATTCCCTCTTGCGTATCCAACATAGCGGTTCATTTGGAGGTTGGGCAAATTCCTATCAGTACTCGGATATGGATATTGAAGATCCATTATTGGCTAAAGCTTATTTTCTTCCCGGTTGGGCTGGCACCTTTAACCTTATTAGATACCTACCAATCCAGATGGAAAGCTACACTGCTGGAAAAGCTTAAAGGCTTGGGGATCCCACAGCAGACCCTGATAGCGACAGGCTTCGAGAAAGCTAGGACTACAATCCGCCAGCGTATCTGGGACGTAGAATTACAATGCCACATGAGCGAAATGATCAAACATCCAGCAATAAGGGACCAGGGGAGAGGTTTCTCTCCAGCTAACTATCTGTCAGGTCTTCAGGTACCCAAATACAGACGGTCTTTTACCCTCGCCAGATTTAACGTTCTCCCTTCTGCCTTCCTTCAGGGCAGATTTGAGGGCAAACCATACACAGCTCGGGTCTGCCCTTGTGGCTCGTTGGAAGTTGAAACTGCTTCACATGTATTATTACGTTGTCGTCTTTATGAGGATATACGTTTGACTTTTATTACACCTGTTTTGCATAAGTCCAGGAAAGAATCGGAATACCATAGTTTAAAACTACTGCTAGAGGACAAGAATCCCAAGACTACATTAAATGTAGCTAAATTCTGTGCGTCTGCAATCAATCGCAGGAAGCAAGTGGTATCCCATAATGACCAAACCCCTAAATGTTAATTACAGAGGGCACGCTAACAATTAATTTTAATTTTTATATTTAAATCCTTGTTATATTCATATTGTCCCTTGTATTTCTGATATTTTTTATGATCTGTGATACTGTGTGTGTTGACGCTGGTCTGTGACCATATTAATAAATTCATTCATTCATTCATTCATGCAGTAAATGGACAAAAGCACAAAGCTTCACAAAATGTTTAGGGGGGGTGTGCCCCCGTGTCCCCTCAGAAAAAAGCACTGTGTAAAACTATAATATTTTAAATCAGTTTAAAACAACCAAGAGAATAGATTGGGTCCTAATATAGATAGGGGAGAGAGAGAGAGAACAGATTACTAGATAGACAGATTGAGACAGAGTGAAACTCAGAGTTTGAGCATTAGAATAGTTAGTGATTTAGAAAGAATTAGAGAGCGAGTTAAACAGCATTAGACAGCAATTGCACCACAAGCTGGGGGGGGAAATGAGGCAAATTTTCCCTTATGGTACATGACAATGCAACATCCTTGCTAAGGACATTGTATGGGGCTGCCCTCTGGGGTCACGTGTGATTTTTATGTACGGTGGTACCTCGGGTTACATATGCTTCAGGTTACAGACTCCGCTAACCCAGAAATAGTACCTCAGGTTAAGAACTTTGCTTCAGGATGAGAACAGAAATCATGCAGCAGCAGCGGGAGGCCCCATTAGCTAAAGTGGTACCTCAGGTTAAGAACAGTTTCAGGTTAAGAACAGACCTCCAGAACGAATTAAGTTCTTAAACCGAGGTACCACTGTATAAGGAAAGGAAGAAAACCCTAGTGCAATTGCACCTTCCAGACACACGATGGCAGTATCAAGAAGATTGCAGGGAGCCCCATGGTTTGCAGCAGTTTAAATATATATATATATATTTACTGTGGGAGGATGAGGGGCAGGGGAAGAAGCGGGTGGGAAAAGTCCAGTGAGGACTGAGCACTACTTAGAGTAGTAAAGGATGAATCTGTCCATTCTCATTTCCCCATGCTCAGGCTCCATCTGCAACTGTACATTTGAGTCAGCATCCTACCACTTTGAACACCACTTCCCCCAGAGGATTCTGGGAATTGTAGTTTTTGCCAAGAGTTCACAGGAGGAGGCCCCTGTTTTCATCGCAGAACTACCGTTCCCAGAGTTCCCTGTGAAGAAGGTTTGGACCAGGCATAGGCAAACTCGGCCCTCCAGATGTTTTGGTCCTTTTAGCTAGGGATGATGGGAGTTGTAGTCCCAAAACATCTGGAGGGCCGAGTTTGCCTATGCCTGGTTTGGATTGTTACACCAACTCTGGGACTTGTCAGTTTCCTTCAGGATCGCCAACGTTTTTGCTCTTCTGCCTTCCACACCAGGATGGCATGCAGATATTAGATGGGGCAGAGCTTTCTCCCCCCCCCCCACTGGAATAGCAAAGGAGCAGAACCAGTGGAGTAAGTTGGCAACCCGGCTGCTGCTACCCACCTCTTGGCAACTTACCTTGTTCTGAGAAATAGGATTTGAGGAGATTTGTCTGAGCCTTTGGAGAAAGCGCCAGGATATTGATGGCCGCCGAATCTGTCAAGGCCCCACCAAAGCCCTTGATTTTTTGATATTTCTGGGATGTCTTGATCTTCAGAGTGAGGGTTTCTATAGTGAAGGAAGAAGGAAGGTGGCTTAGATTGCACAGCACTGCTTGCTTATTCCTATCGGATGCAACTACTTTAGAGTAGGGATGGACTAAATCTGTCCACTGCAGTTTTCCCTCTCTTTCTTATTTTTCCAGTCTTAAATTCTACATTTCCACATCAGTCAGTCAGTCATTTATTTATTTAGTTACTTTGATTAAATTTTCAAAATTTAACAAAAATAACAAACAAACAACAGCAAATGCAACAACAACCACAAAGAAAAATATACACAAAAAGAATATCAAATCCACAAAAAGGGATTCTCTGAATCCCTTTGACTTCCTTCCCTACCCCGCCCTGGTTCCTTAAATTTTCTTTTCAGCCGCATATCATTTCTACTCCAAATTATTATTATTTACCTCAAATTTCCTGTGCTATTTCTAAAATTTATTTATTTTTTTAAAGCCCCCACGAAAATACACCAGCATTTTAGTGTGAATTTCTCCTAATGTAGACTAGCAGTAGCCACACAGCAAGTGACAGTAGAGGTCCTTGCAGATAAACATCTATTTATTACACACCAGGTAGCCATATTTGAGCTGGCAGTCAAGAATGTGAATTCCAGCTATGTGAATGGACTCCAATCTTAAGTCTTAATGTTGTAAATTTCTTTTTTTTTAATGTTGTAAACTGCTACAGGTTACGTGTATGATTTTAGATGGAAGTCCCCTCTTATTCTCTGTCATCAATTGTAAAGGCTTTTGACTATATATAATAAAAATTGATTGAATGTACTACCAGTACTCCCAACAACTCTCGAAAGCTTGGCCTCATCAATAAGATTTGGGGGAACCTAGGCTTACATCTCTTCTCTGATACAATGCTGTCATTGAGACCACACCCACACCAGACATTTAAAGCACTCTTTTATCACTTTAGACTTCAAGTAAATGCTCTGTAATAATTGCCACAATTTCTATACGTATAATAAAAATGTAAGAATGTCATCAGGCTGCAGTTCCCTTGGCCACAGACAGGTGGTGCTGCAAACTACAACATGATGAGAAAGCAGCCATTCTCAGAGTGCTTTAAAAATCTCTCTCTCTTCCAGAGGAACTTTGGGAATTTGGGCTTTGTGGGGGAAATAGGGGGTTTCCTAACTACTTTCAGCACCTTAACAAACTGTACTTTCCAGGAGTCTTTAGGTGCAGATGTGGCTTGAGGCACTTTGGACCAGTCATAGAATGACAGAGCTGGAAGAGTCCCTGATGATCATTTTGCCTAATCCAGGCTTCCTCAACCTCGGCCTTCCAGATGTTTTTGGCCTACAACTCCCATGATCCCTAGCTAGCAGGACCAGTGGTCAGGGATGATGGGAATTGTAGTCTCAAAACATCTGGAGGGACGAGGTTGAGAAAGCCTGGTCTAACCCTTTCTCATTGCAGGATCTGCAATGTGGGATTCAACCAGGGTACCCCCTGAGACATAATCATCCTGCCACTTCTTCAATTTTTAAAAATTTATTATTATTTATACCCCGCCCATCTGGCTGAGTTTCCCCAGCCACTCTGGGCGGCTTCCAATTGAGTGTTAAAAACAATACAGCATTAAGTATTAAAAACTTCCCTAAACAGGGCTGCCTTCAGATGTCTTTTAAAAATAGGATAGCTGCTTATTTCCTTCACATCTGATGGGAGGGCGTTCCACAGGGCGGGTGCCACTACCGAGTAGGCCCTCTGTCTGGTTCCATGTAACCTCACTTCTTGCAATGAGGGAACCGCCAGAAGGCCCTCGGTGCTGGATCTCAGTGTCCGGGCTGAACGATGGGGGTGGAGACGCTCCTTCATGTCTACTGGGCCGAGGCCGTTTAGGGCTTTAAAGGTCAGCACCAACACTTTGAATTGTGCTTGGAAACGTACTGGGAGCCAATGCAGATCTTTCAGGACCGGTGTTATGTGGTCTCGGCAGCCACTCCCAGTCATCAGTCTAGCTGCCGCATCCTGGATTAATTGCAGTTTCCGGTTCGCCTTCAAAGGTAGCCCCACGTAGAGCACATTGCAGTAGTCCAAGCGGGAGATAACCAGAGCATGCACCACTCTGGCGAGACAGTCCGCGGGCAGGTAGGGTCTCAGCCTGCGTACCAGATGGAGCTGGTAGACAGCTGCCCTGGATACAGAATTGACCTGCGCCTCCATGGACAGCTGTGAGTCCAGAATGACTCCCAGGCTGGTCCTTCAGGGACACAGTTACCCCATTCAGGACCAGGGAGTCCCCCACACCAGCCCGCCCCCTGGCCCCCAAGAACAGAACTTCTGTCTTGTCAGAATGACTCTGGAGAAGAAGACCCCACCCCCTCACCCCATGGCAGGCAGCTCCACTGTAATACAAGTAATGCCCTTAGGAAGTTATACTTCCTTCAGTGCATCAGCCCTTCGGGTATCTGAAGTCTCCCCTTAACCTTCCCTTCTCCAGCCACCATATCTCAGTCCTACCTACCTCACAGGGTCGTTGTGAGGTTAAAATGGAGTGTGCAAGCTTAATTTTATTGGAGAAAGGTTAGAATATATATAGAGAGAGGAAGACTCCTTGGAGGTAGATCTAAAAAAGTAGACAAACCCACCTTTTCCTGGAGCGTCATTGTGCAGGACTCCTTCACTGCGCTCCACACGCGACCCGGCTTTGTTGCTTTCATACTTGACGTAGGAACCCAGAGGAAGGAGGGAGACAGGCTCCAAGGTGTCACAGTAGTTAGCCCCACATTCACACACCAACGAGCCATGCCCAAAATTCCTGGCAGAACATGGACGGCCTCCTGGGGAAAGGAAGGAAAAATCTGGCTTTTTTGTTGTTCCATTTCTGGGAAGCGGAGAGGTAAGACAGAAAGGGGTTGAGGAGGCCTTATTTCAGCAGGAAGTTTTGCCGAATCAGTAGCCACACAAAGCCGTATGCTCTAGAACAATTGCAATTTATTTCTGTGCATATAATAAAAATGTAAGCATGTCATCACACTGCAGTTGGCTTGACCACAGACAGGTGGCGCTATGAACTACAGCATGACAAGAGGCAGTGGGTGGGTGATCCGAGCAAGTGTCAGAGGAACAACCATAATAGGAATGGCTTTTCCCTGATAGGAGGAAACATCTGGGCCACCTCATTGGTCCGTGATGCCGCAGTTGGGAGAGTGGAGGTGAAGTGATGACAAGCACAGAGAGCTGGTATAGTTAGAAAGCTAAAGAATGGCCAGTGGTGGCTGAGTCTTGGATTATATTTCCAGAACCCAAAGTGCTTCTAAAAGGGTGTTCATTGTGGGATAATCAGTGCTCCTCATACCTGCAATTCTTTGCAGTGCCTACATCCTTCCTCCCTGATTATTCCCAATTTTTCCTTTCTGGGAAGCGGGGTGGGGGTGGGGTGGGGAGTTGATCTTTTTTGTTAATAAAACAGCTTGGTAGCCAATGACCCATCTTGCTTCTGCAATATTCAGCCTCCATCGGACAGCCTCCCCTTTGCCATCCAGCACCACAATGACTGAGCAACACCTTTCGTCATCACAGGTAGACTGCCTCTGGGTGTGGATGCTCTACTTAGACCTCAAACGGGGCAGGGGGAGGTCACTGGCACATCTTCTGGAGGCAAGTCTCTTGGTTGGTAAGGCCAGGCTTGTTTGCAATCGTAAACCTTCGGTCGAATGTCGCTCACCTGTCACAGCAACCGTCAGCTGGAGAAGCAGGGAGCAAACAACAGCCCCTTTCCACATGGTTTCACAGCCAGATGCAGTAAATGTTGCTGTTGGGAAAGATGGTCCTGAAACAAAAATAAAGGGGAGAGGGAAGGGGGTGTGTTCAGTCATGATTTCAAGGCTCATCATTGATAACCTCATGGCTAGCCAGCTCTCCCTCCAGCTGTGTTTTCAGCTGTGTTTTGTCCAACAAGACTTCCATGGGCATGTGCAAAGTGCAAAAAGAGTCAGGTGGCTTCATCCATTTCAGCATCTGCCCATCTCATTTTTCCAGTCTTAAGTTCTGTTTTTAAGTTCCTTATCAGTTTGTGATTATTACTTAAAGGGGGGGGGGAGAGATCTCATGAGAATTAATTAGCATTTTAGCAGGCATTTTTCACAATTCTATGCAAAAAAATAATAATTCCTAATCTACTGCTTCCAATCCAGGTCCCCTAATATCGTGCATTTGGGTACATGGTTTTTGCAATTATATGCATTTTGATGCACATTTTATCCTAATGTATGCATTTTGATGAATGTGACTGGGCTGGAAAAGCTCATTGCAAAATGCAGAGGTGGAGAGAATTTTGAAAGACCTTAAAGTTTCATCTACTGGTTTCAGAAAGAACGAATGAGGGAGGTTTGCCTTTAAATGCAAACTGACTCAAATTCCTTCTGCGTGACTGGCAGATCGAGATCTGGGAGATGGGGCAGAGCCAATTGAGGGGCTGGACCAGTCATCTGCACACTTCCCTTGTGAGGACAGACAGAAGGATCCGTCCATTTCTTTTTCTCATTTTATCCATCTCAATTTTGGTTCTCCTCATTCCTGCAGCAACTTTCCAATTTTCTATTCTTTAAAATCCTCATGAAAATTAAACAGCAGTTTAGTCCACCACACACACACACATTTCAGTGACTTCTAAGAAACACATTTTTAATGAAGTTTTGATATTTCTGCAAGCAATTTCTCCTACTATAACGCATCTCTTTCTGTCATTTGAAACAACATACTCGTTTTTAGGCACCGATCTCTGCATTTTTGAGAACGTTGGTCGGAGAGATGCATTGCAAAATTGAGCCAAATGTGGATTTGGAAGGACGGGTGTGGTTTGCTTCTCATGTTGTTTCAGAAAGTGGTAAAGGTAAAGGGACCCCTGACCGTTAAGTCCAGTCGCGGACGACTCTGGGGTTGTGGCGCTTATCTCGCTTTACTGGCCGAGAGAGCCGACGTTTGTCCACAGACAGTTTTTCCGGGTCATGTGGCCAGCATGACTAAGCCGCTTCTGGCGAAACCAGAGCAGTGCATGGAAACGCCATTTACCTTCCTGCCAGAGCAGTACCTATTTATCTACTTGCACTGGTGTGCTTTCAAACTGCTAGGTTGGTAGGAGCTGGGACCGAACAACGGGAGCTCACCCCATCGCGGGGATTCGAACCGCTGACCTTCTGATCGGCAAGCCCTAGGCTCTGTGGAATCGAATAAGACGAGGAATAACAGCAAAATGTTCCATACAGTGGTAACTCGGGTTAAGTACTTAATTCGTTCCAGAGGTCTGTACTTAACCTCAAACTGTTCTTAACCCGAAGCACCGCTTTAGCTAATGGGGCCTCCCGCTGCTGCCGCGCCACCGGAGCACGATTTCTGTTCTCATCCTGAAACAAAGTTCTTAACCTGAAGCACTATTTCTGGGCCAGCGGAGTGTGTAACCTGAAGCGTATGTAACCCAAGGTACCACTGTACAATGTTTAGGGAGAACATGAAACACCCTTACTGCTGAATGAGTTTGCATGTATGTAGTGGAAGGAACGTAGAATTCCACTGCTTCCACTATAAAGGTAAAGGGACCTGTGACCATTAGGTCCAGTTGTGACCGACTGGTGTTGCGGCGCTCATCTCGCTTTACTGTGGGAGCCGGCATACAGAGCGGTACCTATTTATCTAATTGCACTTTGAGGTACTTTCGAACTGCTGGGTCGGCAGGAGCAGGGACCAGCAACGAAGCTCACCCCATCTCTGATCGGGAAGCCCTAGGCTCAGGACCACCCGCTATCATTATATAACGCTACAAAAACGTTAGACTTGTTTTGATCTCTCTTTTGCACCAGTAATATTCCCCCAGAGGGAGGTGCACCGTTCCTGGAGGTACTGCAATACCAGGTCGATGCATGGAGTGGATGGAGCAAGCCCCTATTCCATCTCCCAGCTCCAAAAATCCATTTAATATATAGTCCTCAAATAGAGGACATATCAGATATTAAACTGATAAGAACAGATACTACACTTGATCTTAGCCAAAAGGCCGAGAAGCGATACCGAGCTGAACAAAAATTAAGCGGGTCTCCTTTCCCGATGCCTTTTGAGCTGTCGGGGAGCACCTGGTACTGCAAAGCGCTCACCGCCTCCCACGGAATCAGCACCGTTTCCAGTTCCACGAAAACACGCTCTGGCAACGTTTCTGCTCCTGTTGCCCAACGCACCAGCCTTTTGATGGGCAGTTTAATCTCAAAAATAGTGGATTCTGTTGATTTTATCCATTTCTCAGCCGTCTGTCAGGTCAGCTCGATGGCCATTGGTGCTATATTTGCATAAACCCACCCCTTTTTTGGCCATCGCGTGCTGCGCAACTGTTAACTCACTGCTTGCCAGCAGAGGTCCCAAACGTTTCAATTTGACAGCTTGTTGTTCCTTTTAAGCTGAATACTCGTGCTCCCTTTAACATCCATGCACATTAGGAAGGGAAAATGCTTTTTTAAAAAAGAGAGAGAGAGAGAGAAAGAATCAGCATAGCATGAGAGCATTCAGCATTTGTTTTCCAGAGGCACTTTGGCTGTCCCCTGTTGGAAACAGGAATCTGGGTTAGAGGCATTTCTCTGCTTGGATCAGGCAAACCACCTTGACTGATGTGCAGCAGTGTGCGGCTGCACACAGGGTCCATCTAAAACACATTAAAACACATGATTTCCCCCCAGAGAATCCTGGGAGCTGTAGTTTGTTAAGGGTGCTGGGAAATGGAGCTCTGTGAGGTATAAGCTACACTTCCCATGAGTCTTTGCAGGGAAGGAAAAAAACGATGTTATTCAAATATATGGTGCCCATGCTTTTTTGCCTTTTTTTTTGTAAGGAAGGGATTTAAATCAGATGCAGCAATGGCCTGAGCCTCCTCGCCAGTTCTTATCTGACAGACATCAGAGCACATAAAAGGAAGTGATGAGGAAGAGCTTCTCTGGCTTAGTTTCTGTCTGCCAGGCGTCCATTAAAAGGCAGAGGAGCAGGACCAGTTGAAACAAGATGGCAACCGCTCCGACTGGAGGGCAAGTTGCTGCAGCATTAGGCAAAAACAAACAGGTCTGTGTCTGTTGGGATGGGCCAAGGAGGCCCTAAGGTGTGGCTGGCGTAGGAGGATGAGAAGGAGAGGGTGGCTGGGAGAATATTTTCCCCAGGCAGTCTGCAGGTGCGAACAGGGCTGGCCCAAGACAATTTGCCACCTGAGGTGGACCCCCAAAATAACAGCCTCCTTCCCCACCAGCGAAGAAGGGGTTAGGGAAGATCTGCAACAGGAGCCAGCAGGGAAGAAAGATCAACGTCAGGATCTGCTGCCCTGGTGGTACCTGCCGCCAGAGGCAGTCGCTGCCCCTTGCCTCGTGAGTGGGCCGGCCCTGCAGACCCTCCAAGTGTCCCTATTTGCCACAGTCAGTCATGGATTTACAGACGCCGTCCCGGTTTCTGATTCTGATCCCAGAATGTCCCGCTTCTCCTTAGCACACCCCTATTTTCATCAGAGAAAGATTGGAGGGTATGGAGATATGCGAACCCCGAGCCAAGGAGATAAGTAACTATACAACCTTTAGAAGACATCTGGAGGCATCCCTGTGTAGGGAAGTGTCTCACTTTTTAATGTTTAATTCTGTTTTTATATATGTTGGAAGCCACCCAGAGTGGCTGGGGCAACCCAGTCAGATGGGCAGGGTAATTATTATTATTATTATTATTATTATTATTATTATTATTATTATTATTATTTTATTCATACCCTGCCTATTATTATTATTATTATTATTATTATTGAATAGGATGTCCCTATTTTTTATTTATACCCCGCCCATCTGGCTGGGTTTCCCCAGCCACTCTGGGCGCCTCCCAACCGAATATTAAAACACAATACAGCATTAAACATTAAAAACTTCCCTAAAGAGGACTATTAGTTCTGTGTTCTGCTCCTCTGAAGGCTGAATCTGTAGATGCAAGAACATGCAGGTGTACCAACCTGTCTCTTTTGATCCTCCAAGTTTCTCCCACCCCTCGGGCTTCAGTTCAGTTCTCCAAGAATGACAGTAGCTAAATACTGTATAAGAACCTAGGAAGAGCCTGCAGGATCAGGCCAAGGGCCCGTCTAGTCCAGTATCCTGTTTTCACAATGGCCAAGCCACTTCTGGGAAACCCACAAGCAAGATTCTAATTGTGCTCAATATGGTCAGCGTCACCTGGCATCACCAACTCTGTAAAGGTAAAGGGACCCCTGACCATTAGGTCCAGTCGTGGCCGACTCTGGGGTTGCGGCGCTCATCTCGTTTTATTGGCCGAGGGAGCCGACGTACAGCTTCCGGGTCATGTGGCCAGCATGACTAAGCCGCTTCTGGCGAACCAGAGCAGCGCACGGAAACACCGTTTACCTTCCCGCCGGAGCGATACCTATTTATCTATTTGCACTTTGAGGTGCTTTCGAACTGCTAGGTTGGCAGGAGCAAGGACCGAGAACCGGGAGCTCACCCCGTCGTGGGGATTTGAACCACCGACCTTCTGATTGGCAAGTCCTAGGCTCTGTGGTTTAACCCACAGCACCACCCGTGTCCCTGTTCAGAAGATACTGATGTTATAAATAGGAAATTGGGAACTGCTAAATATGTGACATGATGAAATCCAGATTGGAGGGTGTCGAGGAAGTCTTTTAGCCATGTAAATACACCAAAGAATAAGAAGGAAAAAATTCTTCTTTTATTTTGTGTGTTTTTACTGTTGTTAAGTTTTTATGTTGTGTCAAATGTAATGTTTTTCTTTTGTGTTTTTGTCTGTGTTTTATAA